AACACTTAAAGCTCTGTGTGTCCCCATCAACATCTAAGAACTTCATTTTGGTCCTTTGCAAAGTTTCACAAGTCCCTGCCCAGAGGATGACCAATCAGAGGTGCATAAATCTGAATATGAAAATATTACATGTGTCATACACAAGGTTATTTTCTGGGTCCAGTTCTATTTTTATTTAACACAATGTTTTATCAAATTGTTCTCAGTGGTGGATTGAGGGAAGGGACCTGGGGGGGCCCAGCCCCCCGGCCTCCCCCGCTTATTTTTGGACCAAACTGAACTGAGGCCCAAAGGGCTGAAAAAAAATTTTTGGAGACCAGAACCCCACTTGTCTAAAGGCGTGGATAACCAGGCCCGCTCTTTATCTCAAGGTCTGGATCCGGCACTGGTTCTGGTAAGCTTTCAATGCTGAGTTTTACTGATTATACTAACTTACTCTTTACTAGTGAAAGCCAGTAGTACTTTGAATCTGTTATGAACAACGAGCTTAAACAAGCCTTTAAGTACTGTACTGTGCTGTAAATAAGTTTTCTAGTTTTAACTTTGCAGAGACTAAATGCCTGTTAGTTTCTTTGCTTAGATCCCTCTGGTTGAACTAAAAGATAATATTTAATAGCTTAGAGTTTACATTGATAAATAACTCAATTGATACAACATATAAATAAAAAAAATAGCAAACAACTATAATAATTCTTTCTAAATCAGATATTTCGTGGATTACTGAAACAATATAGTTTTAATGTGAGATCCCGAGGGAAACAGTTTTTTTTCCCCGAGAGTCCTGTTGTTCATCAAGGGAAACATCAGGACTCAAGGGAAAACAAAACTAACTGGTTTCCCGAGGGACCTCACATTAAGTGTTTTGTTATATTTCTATGCTTTCACTTCAACATACTTCAACAGCAACAAAAGAATATGCTTAAGTGGAGCCAAACAAGACAGTTGACTTGGTACTTAAAAGAACACAAATTTAATTCTCAAAACCACTGAATGAATGATTTACAAAGTACTTTCCTTATATTCTCTGCATCTTTTTCCTCCACTAGCTGCTGTTTCTCTTCTGGGATAACTTTGAAAATTGTTGCTTTTTAGCTTCAGGTTTCATGTTTGTGTTGTTGTGAAAGTTGTTGTATTCATTCACTAACCTGCATAGCAGCTGGCGTCACTGAAAAGGGTAAGGGGATAGGGAGGAAGGGAAAAAGGGAGGGGGACTGGGGAGAGAGAGTAAGGGATGCCTGCTGTAAGAACGCCCTTTTGTTCATTTCTGCGGATGGTGGCATCCTCAAATTCCTGATTGGCTGAGCTGTAATGAGTAACTTATTGACGTGTATCCTGGTGTGTATTAGTTAGAGACAAAAACATGATAAAGGCATCAAGGAAATGTGTTCTACTGGCATATAAAGCTTTGAAAGATCAAAATTACTCCAATCATGTAGCAAATTTGTGTTTAAAACTGAACTAGATGAATCAACTGTAATAGCTTGTTTAGCAGGCAGAGATGCTCAGGAGGTTTTGTATACTGGATTTGTCCAAACACCGAGCGGCGATTCAAGGTGATTACAATTCTTGCCAGACATTTGCAATGCCAATATCCACAAGACCGCCTTTTCGGCAAAAACATATACAGTGAAACCTGTATTAAGCGGACACCGTTTTAAGCGGACACCCTAATTAAGCTGACAGTAGCCGAAGTCCCCCAATTTTTTTCCCTTATTTTCTTGAAATGAAACCTTTATTAAGCGGACACCTGTATTAAGCGGACACGGACACCTAAAAAGTACCTGAAATGGCCACTTCTATTGTTGCCGACCTGTATTAAATGGACACTTGTAATTAAATTCCACCACCCAACATGCCAGACACTGGAAATGTGAAAGATTGCCTCGAATTGCCACCCACAAATTTTTCGATTTTTACATTAAAAAACATGACTTCACGAACTTATTTGATCATTTTCTCAGTACAGTATTGTTTTCTATTTCGTTTTGTTTGTATAGAGCTTGTTTCACTCATCTGATTTCTTCAATTTTGAGTTGCAATCCATGTTTATGGTACTATGATCAAATTGGTCCACTTTTACACAGAACTGATCATCGTTTATCATAGACTGTGAGCAGTAAAAAAAGAGAAACTGCTCGTAGTCTATGTTTATCGGGTTTGCTGTGGGAGCAAAAACAGTAAAAATGTTTTATTTCAGCTAATTATGATATCACTCAAAAAAAGCATCTCGACTTGACAATTTCTGGTTAACAAAGTAATTAAGTTCCGACCATGCTGAGAATTAAGCCCTCTACTTGTGATTGGTCACGTATTGTCAGTTGACGTTATCGGATTAGTTTGGAAGATGGTGGGCGAAATACAAAAACACCAGCTTTTATAGCAGGCACTCCCTTCCCTTTTCCCCAGTGGCGGCTCCAAGGGAGGGGCCCGGGGGTCCCCCCCTGCCTTATTTTTAGACCAAAATGAGGCTCGAAGGGCTGGGAAAAATTTCTTTTGAGACTGGGCCCCCCTTTTCTCAAGGTCTGGATGACCGGCCTCCCACCCCCCCCCCCCTATTATCTGAAGGTCTGGATCTGCCACTGTTCCCAGCGTTCGCACTTTTCTCCCACCCCCTCCCTGTCCCCTTTTTGCACCTGCCAAGCAGGCTATTCACAAAAAAGGAAACTGGCAGTGTTTTTCCTGCCTTCTGTCACGCTACTTTCCACCATGCTCTGATCGCGTGCTGTAAAGTATCCCAAGCAGGGTACATCTCTTGATGTATCATGATTGGGATACATTTGATTTTAGTCAAGGCCACGTGAAGAATCGGGAATCAGCCAATGGCTGTCCCTGTTTATTTGAGTGAAAGTCTAGGAATATAACAATTAAACTTGTGCTTTAATATAATGCTACTGGGTTATTGCCTATGGCTATGTCTGTAATACTGCTAGACAAAATAATGTCTCCTAATCAGAAAGAATAAGCTGTGAAGCATCCTGACACATGCTTGCGAGGGTGCTGGTCCCCTGGGGTGCTCCCATATATGGGCTAGATGGGTACATTCCACCTGATATTTGGTATGGTTTTTTAAGGGTCTCAACCCTTGTTGGCATTGTGTTCCCAGTATGATCCTCAGATTGGGTACCTAAATTGAATCAGCTAGAATTCAAGTGGGCAAATGCCCAGCTACGCAAGAAACAATCATCTGTTGAAACTGTACTATTGTAGTATTATGAGAGCTCTTTAATGGATTGTGTGATGCCATAAAATTCTTAGATGTTTTCCCTTGAATAGGGTGTCATTTTTTGGGGTTTGGGTTTAATTAGGGTATCAATTTTCGTTTGTCCCATCCTTTCTGACCTATTTAACGATAGGGTCAGGGTGTAACTCCCCAGGTGGCACACACCTATCCAAAATTTATGGACGCTCCTCCGAGCTCCCCCCCACTCCCCCACTGCTTTCCAAGGCTTATCCCTATTACAAATTCCTGGTAATTAGACAACATTATTATATATAAATTCCAATATTCTGTCTTACATGTAGGTTTAAGAATGAAACTGATGGCTTTCTAGATATCTTCCTTGATGCCTTGACTTGAGCAATTAATGTACTGCACTAAATTAGAACACGAGATTTGCTAGTAATCCCAATTTTTGTATACCTAAAGTATCTACCAAATTAGGTGAGTTGTCCTTTAAATTTTCTGGAACACAGAAAAAAGATTTGGGAAACAATGCCCCTTAAATGTATGTGTCTTTATTCTGCAATACATGTACCATTAAGAAACAACGGAAATATCACCTTTTGATTAGTCAAACCTAATTTTACCGTTGCCTTGTTCAGAAGAATAAATTTTAGTTTTGTGCTGCCAGCAGCACTTTTAACAATGAATGGCAATAGAGAGGGGAAATGTTACATCACGTAACCATAGTAGCAAATTTTATGGATCTAAACAACAGAGACGGCTATTTCCATGGTCGAATAATGGAAGAAAAGTATGGGCTACTGTTTGGTTCCCGATTGCAGTCATGCACAGGAAAGTCATACATGTCAATTTCTTTCGTTTTTATCTGCCAAATTCGCAGGACCAAATATTTGCTCCCAAGGCAACGTGACGTAACGACTTCTCCCTTTTATGGCACCTTTTGATTCACCATTTGCTCATTTCCCATAATACAACTCGTTCGCCCCCAAAACTTTCTAAACCCTTGTCTGGTATTACAGTGGTCCCAAGAGAAATAAAAGGGAATACTTACACAAAATTTCGGAGGGCAAACAAGGTGCAGTAAATGGCCAAGTAATCAATCCTGATTAACGAGATCAACGAGAACGTAACAAGAGCAATAGTTTTAGCCATCAAAACTACAACAAAGCACGTGCGTCACACTTTTTGGTGTAATTCTTTGATTCCCACTGTACGACTACAACGCAAAACCTCTAGGAGGACGTTAACACACGACGACGTTTTTTATTTTTTTTATTTTCGAGTTGGGTACGCTCCCTTTAGATTTCAACTGTCAAAAATTCGGTCAAATTTGGCAAATTGAATGAGGATGAGGTTGTCACCATGGATGCTTTCTCTAGAGAGGTGGACATCATAAAAAAGACTCAGTCGCGGCGAATAACCCATTTATCCTGTTGCCTTGCAGCTTTCTCTCAAGAGTCTGTCTTTCAATTATTTGACCACACCTAGCAAAGAAAGTGGTTTTAGCAGTCTTCAATCAGCTTGCATCAAAGGAGATGTCGATACCGTCTTGGCGATCTTAAACCTCAACACAGACAAACTTGACAGTGCCATTGCTCTGAGTGTCAAGATTGGTCCAAATGCGCCCCATTTTCCAGGTAAATCTATTTTAACGGCGTTAAAACATCAAGACACGGAAAAACATAAGGCGATCCTTGAAACAATTTCAAAGGTTACAGAGCATTTTCAGTCTCAATCACTTCTACACCTGGCTGCCAAAAAGGGAAATGTTGAACATGTTCGCAGACTTCTTGATGCTGGTGAACCTGTTGACGCCATGTGCTCATGCTCAGATCAACTGGAAAATAAAAAGACACCCTGGATGTTCGCCGTCAGGTGCTCATGCTCAGATCGACGGGAAGATGAAAAGACACCCTTGATGTTCGCTGCGGAGTTTAATGAGGTAGAGGTTGTCGAATTTCTTATCCAAAGAGGTGCTTCACTTGAGATGACGGATAGCAGAAGTATGACTCCTTTTCTCCATGCTGTTAGTGGAGGAAAGATGCAAAATGTGAAACGCTTGTTTGAACTTGGAGCAAATGTGCTAAAAGAGACGCGCCGTGGAATGTCAGCAATTCATGTCGCTGCCGGACAAGGTAACAAAGACGCTGTGTTCTTTTTGCTGGAACACGGTGCAAGTGCAGACCAACAAGGATTTTATGGTCTCACTCCCCTTATGTTGGCCGCAAGAAAAGGCTGCCTCGACACCGTCAAGCTATTGCTTTCTAAAGGAGCAAATTTAAATGGCTGTTCACAGGGTGGCGAAACGCCATTACTTTTTGCCGCTAAAGAAAATCATACAGATATAGTCAAATTCCTGTTGAAGAAAGGTGCGAATCTTTTTGCAATAAAAGAAACAGTGCTTCATTTTGCCACTCAACTTGATTTGGTTAGTTTCCTTTGTGACCAAGGTGCTAATATTCATGCGAAAGATAGCTGGGGAAAAACGCCTCTACACGCGGCCGCTAAGAATGGACAATCTGACACAGTTCGCTTCCTTTTAGAACGCGGAGCTGATATCAATTCAAGTGATGACAGGGGCCATACCGCTTTGTATTATGCCATCCTGGCAGAACATGCTTCCACTGCAAAAGTTCTGATTGAGAGTGGCTGCGAAGTGAAGCTGATTCTCAAAGGAGGTCATTTTGTCGATGAGGGCGAGGTACTGGAAGCAGCTGCTCGTAAGGGGTTTTCTGGTATTCTCAAACTTCTCCTGAACAAAGGTGTACCTGTGGACGCCCTCAGTAGGTATGAAACACCTCTGATAGTAGCGGCCAGGGCTGGACATTGTGAAGTGGTGAATGTTCTCCTCGATCATGGAGCAAACATCAATGGTTTTCGTTTTCGAAACTTTAAAAGCGAGAAACACGAAATTGTATATGATAAAGGTCGAGACAGTGAAGACAGTGACAAGAAGAAAGAAGAACCTAAACTTGCCAACACCAAAACACCACTGTATTGCGCCCTAGAAGCTGGAAGAGGTGAGGTGGCTAGACTTCTGATTGAACGAGGGGCTGATACCTCTGACCCTAGTGGAAACACCTCTTCGCTTCCCGAACTGGCTGCCACGCGCGGGCTTTCAGATGTTTTTCACCTTCTTACCAAGGAGAAGAGTTTTGATTTTAACAAAATCAAAGATGACGGAGAGACGTTACTGACATTCGCAGCTACTAGCGGAAAGTTTGATTCAGTAAAATTTCTACTTGACAATGGTGCTGAAGTAAACGTAAAGAACCTTTCAGGGGACACAGCTCTTTCTTGTGCTGTTCGGTCCCGTGCGGCTCCAGTTTTGGAAATTGTTAGACTTCTCCTCGCACATGGTGCCGCTGTCAACACTAGGAATGACCACTGTGAAACTCCTCTTCTTATCGCTGCAACAAGGAATGCTGACAAAGTTGCTAATCTTCTTATTGAACATGGATGTGATACGACCAGTAAAAACTTAGGTTCTTTCTCCGCTCTACACTCTGCTGCTAATTACAACAATGGAAAGCTCATTGAGAAGTTGCTTCAGCATGGTGCTGTACTTAATTTAAAAACTGATGATGAAGGTATGACTCCCTTGCACGTGGCTGCAAAATCAGGGAGTGTCCTCGCAGCCGACGTATTACTAGAACACGGTGCCGATCTAGAGAGCACAACTCCCCTGGGGGAAACCCCCCTGCTGTTAGCAGCCCAAGAGAAAAAATTTGCTATGCTTTACTTCTTAACAGAGAAAGGAAGTAATGTTGATGCAAAAAACGGTTTTGGAAAGACTGTTCTTATGAATCTCGCCATAGGTTATGAAGGTTTAAAAACGTTTTCACTGGCTAAAACGTTGTTGCAGCTTGGCAGCTCTGTAAATGCAACTGACGAGTTTGGACGGTCTGTTCTGCATTATATGTCTTGCGGTGGCAATTCAGAAAGGGAATTCTACAACCTCCTTCTGAGTCATGGGGGAAATATTAATCTTCCAGATAAAAACAGGGAGACGCCTTTGCACTTTGCAGCATCTGATGGAAACACTGCTTTAATAGAGTGGCTCCTTGAGCATGGCGCAGACGTGAGAGCGTTGGACAGGAAAAATCGCAGCCCGCTTCATTCAGCTGCCTACAGGGGTTGCAGCATCTCCGTGCAGTTGTTGATCCAAAATGGAGCTGAAATTCACCTTGCTGACAACAAAGGGTGGCTGCCTTTGCACCTTGCTGCTGCAGGAGGGAACAGAACGACTTTTGAAGTTTTGCTTCAAAATGGAAGTGATGTCACACTTGTGGACAAGAAAGGAAGAACGTGCCTTCATCTTGTCGCAAAATATGGTCCATGTGCTTGGGAAGAGTTGTTTGAACTTTTGAACATTCATGGCGGCAACATTAATGCCAAAGATTTTAGTGGACAAACAGTATTCGGGGCGTCACTAACTCCCAAGTCACCATACATAATTGAGCACCACTTTTTAACAAGGTTCCTTCAATTGTACATGGAAAATGGGGGTGACGCACATGCTGTTGACTTAGTGACGGGTCAAACAACTCTTCATGTTGCCGCAGCCTGTTCTCTTACTGATATTGCCGACAATCTTTTAGATAAAGGATTGAACCTTGAAGCAAGAGACAAGAACGGAGACACACCTTTACACAGAGCATCGGCATGGGGGACTCTCGATATGATCCAGCGACTTGTAGAGAAAGGAGCTGACCTATCTGCTGTCAATGAAAGAGGTCAAACGCCATTGCTGGTCTGTGTTGCTCTCAACGTCTCTACAGAGGCATCCACCGTTTTAATAGAAAACGGAAGTGACGTAAATACTGCAGATAACAGTGGTAACACAGCTCTCCACTATGCCGTTAGACGTGGCCAGAATTTTCTTGACATGCTGATCAAGAATGGTGCTGATGTTAATGCCGCCAACGCAATCGGATGCACTCCGCTCCACGTAACCGTTGGAAAAGCATCGTTCCCCAGAGCTGTTAATGTTCTGTTAAGTGCAGGTGGCGATGTCCATTGTCGCGATAAGCAAGGGAATACGCCACTACACTTGGCTGTTGCAGAGGGCCACTATTACGCCGCTGGGATTCTCATAGAGAAAGGAAGCGACGTTTACGCTACAAACTTAAAAGGAGAAACGTGCGCACACATGATGTTGTTCCCACCCAGCGGAATGGTAAAAGAAGCCATTGTTTGTACTGGGCAAGTTAATGCTGTTGATAATTTGGGCAGCAGTCCTCTTCACCTTGCTCTGCTTTCAGGAAGGTGGCCGGTCGCAAGGTGTCTGCTGAAGCACGGCAGCGATCCTAATGCTGTGGATTATAAAGGCAGTACTCCACTTCATGTAGGCTGCTCTTCAGGAAGCAAATCAGCCGTGTCATTTTTGATCGATCATGGAGGGTAAGATATAAGTTGTTTTAGGAATATTTTTATCGTGATTTAAAAGGGATGTCTCACGAAATTTATTTCAATGCAATCAATGGGAATTGTCACCAAATTTAGTGAAACATAAAAATAAAAAAAAGGCATAAACAACACAACAAATACAAAGGGAGGCATGGATAAGCATGGTTTTTAAAAACTTGTGAGCGTTGCAGTCTTTGAAATTCTATTTTTGTTGTTTGTAAGGTTTGACATTATCAGGCTTAGGAGACATAGTTGTATGACTCAAGGCTCAAGTTTTCTAGCGAATAAGGACGCGTAACTGGCCTGATTATCATAAACAAACTGAACTCGGCAGCCGTGACTTCGCAACAACGATTTTTTAGCGCAATACAGCGTTGCAACATTGTTGCGACATTGTTTCGAATGGTTCCAACATTGTTCCAACATTGCAATGCTGTATTCACAACGTCGTTGTGAATCGTCCCGTGTAACACCACCTTTGACTTGAGTAAATGCCAAGACAACAAAGCATTGTTGTCTTGGCCCGTTCTTGTTGGTTGCATTGCTTGTGCGTTGAATCTACAATCGCCGGAAGTGTTTTCCTATTTACAGCGCCGGGCCACAGAATTTACGTATAGGAAAATAATATCTGAGCTTCAAAGAGCAAACGTATTTTCGTGACCACTGGGGATGCTTTAGCATGAATCTAACAAAGCGGAATACAGTCAACTCTCGCCTTGCAGACACCTTGCTATAACGGACACCCCGATAAAACGGACAGCAGCCAAATCCCAGGAAAAAAACAAATTACAGAAGATTGACTGAAATAAACTCCCGCTATTACGGACTCTCGCTAATGAGGACACTAACTAGAGGTCCCTAAAGTGTCCGCTATAAAGGGAGTTGACTGTACCAGAAACATGCGCTTATACAACTTCATAAGGAGTTTTAGAAGGGTTTACAAACGGGGGAGCTAAAAACCGGTCTAAAAAAGCGTTTCAAAATAAGCTATATAGCAGTGCTGATCAAAACACTTTTTGAATTTACTCGCCTTTAAAAGCTACAAAACGTGCTGAAAATCGATACGAGCTAGAGGAGGGCTTATATCCGGGAGGTGTCATAACCTGATGTATTTTTTTTATTACAGGTAGATGGGCCTATTACTGGGGGGGTATAAGTGGGGCAGCTTATAAGCGGACGTTTACGGTATTGGTTAACCTCTTTCTAAGTGTAAGGCTTAGACTACGATTTGTCCCCGTTTTTCCTCAGGGATAGTAGAGCGAGCGCGCGTGAAAATCACCCCACGCGAGAAAGGCGAGACGCAGCGGGGAGAGAGAAATATATCCTTTCTCGCGTGGAATAATTTTCACGCGCGAACGCGTTTCGCTCCCTCTACTATCTCTGAGGAAAAATGGCGGCTACTGGTAGCCTATGTAAGGCTTGAAAACCTATCAAAATTCATTGTCCAGCACATTATCTCTTGCATTTGTTTTCAGTAATCTCGAAGCACGCGATGCCAAAGGCTGTACGCCACTTCACATCTGTGCTGTGTTCAATCAGACGAACACCGCGAAACTTCTTCTCGACCGCGGAGCAAGCTTGGAGGCAAGAGACAATGAAGAAAGTACTCCATTACATCTCGCTTCAGCTTTCAGTGATGCAGACATGGTGTCATTGCTTGTGAAGCACGGGGCAAGCTTGAAGGGGAAAGATTCTGAAGGAAGTGTAGCTCTTCACACAGCTGCTGCTCTCGGTAGAATGGAGATCGCAAGGGTCCTGATTGATGCCGGAAGTGACGTCAATGCACGTGATGCAAATGGCAATACACCGCTACATGTGTCGGCAAGTTCTGGCAAGTTGGAAGTTGTTCGTTTATTGCTGGATAAGAAAGCGGATATGAACGCAGTTAACAATGATGGTGTTTCACCAGTTGGTTGTGCTGAAGCATTTGGTCACAAAAAGGTAAAGCGGCTTATTGAAAAAAAGATGCTGCATGGGTGATTGACGTCATGCCAGTTAAGAGAATGTGAGAACTTTAACCCTCTAGCTATGTAGTATCAAATTACAGGTTAGACGTTCAAGTTCAAGTGTATTTCACTATTAAAGTCGAAAATGTGAAAAACTGCTCTTAGAGCAAATCAGACAGGGTCACACAGTGGCGGATCCAGGGGAGGGGCCCGGGGAGCCCCCTCCTTATTTTCAGACCAAACCGAGGCCTAAAGGGCTGACAAAAACTTTTTGGAGATCGCCCCCCACCCCCGTTTTCCAAGGGTCTGGATGACCGGGCTTCCCCTTATCTCAAGGTCTGGATCCGGCACTGTTACATACCCATACATACATACATACATACATACATACATACATACATACATACATACATACATACATACATACATACATGTTTTATTTATTTGGAGTCTTATACAATAAATAGTATATCAACTATTTCCAAATAACTACAATTACAAACAACAAAAAATTCCTAACCATATATGTACAGACGCCCCCCTCCCCTAAGAAAAAATCCGTGGGGAGAGAAACTCTATCCCCGATTTTTCTGAGGGGAAGGGGGCGTCTGTACACAGGCTAATACATTAAGGGCCAGATATTTAAGGGTTTATCAAAATTGCGCTCTAAGCCAGTTTCATTTTTTTGGCAAACTCTCATGTAATACCATTTATCTTGAACAGTTTCATGAGCATATGGCATATTCTAGAAAAGCATTTGTCTTCTTAAAATAACCCACATGGAAAGAGATCTGGAGATCCAAAGATTTCCTAAACCGCGGTCTAAGTGAGACATCGTTTAAAATTACTGACCCTAAAAGTCTAAATGCTTGTAACGCTTGTAGTACTTATCTAATGGATAGCGATTTATCGGGGGGCTAACGCTGTCTAACTTTTGAACTGCGGCTGACGTATATATGGTTTGTTGTATCGTAGTTGTACAATGTTATGTAGACATTGTAAGTACATAGTTATTAATTCTATCCAGCGACTTAATCCTGGAGCTATCTGTCTAGCTGTTAAAGGGGGTGACGGTAAAGCGGTGTCTGGGTATAAGTGGTTAACAAAATGCCTTTTTGCGCAGACAATGTTCACAATTATAAATTCGGCATTGTTCATCTCAGTATCGTCAAAACCGTTCCATTTTTAAATAATAATTTTCAAACGGGCGCTGTTTCATCCAATTTGAATAGAAACAGGGTTCGCACACCTTGAAAATCCTTGAAAGTCCTTGAATTTTAAAATAAAAATTCAAGGCGTTGAAAGTCCTTGAAAATTGCAGTCGGTACTGGAAAGTCCTTGAATTTTAATGCTAACTTAATAGTTCAAGGAGAACTGCAAGGGAAATGGAAAAAACAAAGACCTTCGGGATAAAATTCTTCTGATGTGGAAAACTAATAGAAGACATCGACTCTAGGCTCTTTTTTTGCACTGTACGTAGTCCTTGAAATGCGAAATGTGTCCTTGAAACGTCCTTGAATTTTTTGTTCAAAAAGGAGTATGAACCCTGTAGAAAATGAGCGCAGTTACACTAACGTTTCACACCCATTTTTAGCAACAAATTTCCATTTCCAAACAATATATATTTATGACGGGCAGTGTTTCATCCAATTTCAAGAAACCTGAAGTTAAATGAATAGAAAAAGAGCCCAGGCACATTAACTTTTTACACCCCTTTTTAACAACACTAAATAATAACTCTTGTTTGTGTTACAAATCCCACCCAAAAATAGCGTGGCTAATCGCGTCGGGTGAGTAGTTTTTAGCCGTCTTTGCGATATGTGGACAATGTTTAATGTATTGTGCTCTGACTTTACAGTGAGTAACAGCAGATCCGCTTGCGTTTCAAACTTTAAAAGTGATGAAGCAAGTGGAAGCAGAATGGGAAGGACGAGAAAACTAACTCTTTTTGTCTTAGATTATTTACAAAATTTGAAAAAATAAAATAACGATTTGAAAATAACGATTTAAAAGTAACACATCCACTTAGTGGTTCTTCGTCTACCTGATTCCTGTTAGTCTTTGAATTTGGAAATGCTGGATTTTGCCGAGAGGGGCAAACCAGAGTACCCGGAGAGAAAGCTCTCGAAGCAAAGGAGAGAACCAGCATCTAAAAATAACTTAAAACCTGCCAAACCGATTATACCAGCTGAATGGGGGTACCTCGATAACACTAAACACTCATTTTTTGGCTCTGTAAGATGAAACAGTTTAATTTTAGCAGGAACCGGGCTCCTGAGTTTAGGCATTTTAACACTAACACCTGGGTGGGAAAATGAAATCAAGAAAAGAACTGAAAAAAGCTTTGAAATCGAAGTGGATCAGTGAGCTTTGAAATGCAACTATCCTACCACAAAAGCTTCAAGCAGCATAAACTTTCACCGGGCATGCTTTAAAGAGTTAAGTTAAGGATAACACAATAGGCAATTGCTATTTAGGAAAATGGAAATAAGTGGCCAAGTATTCTGAAGTGTCACTCAGAAGTTTTTTTTATACGTCAGAAACTGAAAAGTCCTGATGCTATTTTTTGTCTTTGTCTCTGCCGACTTCGGTGAACGCGTCACGAAAATCACGTGCAAGACTTGGGGGTAAATCGAGGATAAACGTGAGTAGGAAAATGAAATCAAGGAAAAAACTGAAAGAGCTTTGATTTCCAAGCGGATGTGAGCTAGCTGGAAGTATCACAGCTACGTTTGAACCAGCATACAACGAACAAGGCAAAATACTTTTGTTATTTAGCGAGATGTAAATTAGTGACCACAGTGAAGGTGAATGCGTCGTGAGAATCATACGCCACCCTTGAGGGTAAACGTGAGGAGAAAAATGAAATCAAGGAAAAAACTGCGGTTCAGCCCCGAAGGTTATTTTTGTCTCGGTCGTCTCGAAAACTGAAAACCACCTCGTGCCAATTGCAGCCTTTTTAGTAGGAGCAATTCCGAATGACCATTGTGAAGGCGTCATGAGAATCACATGCCTTATATCCTTGAGGGTAATCTTTTGTTGGAAAATGAAATCAAGGAACTTTTGACTACAGTGTATACAGTATTTGGTGCACAATATATTCCTGCAACATATTTATGTCTCAGAAACTGAAAGCACCTCGTCCTATTTACAGCCTTTTTAGTAGGAGCTATTCCGTCTGACCACAGTGAACGTGTCATGAAAATCATATGCCAAAAATCCTTCAGAGAGTAGACTTGAGCTGGAAAGTGAAATCAAGAACTTTGACAACAGCGAACACCGCGTCGTAAGGGAATAATTTTTCAAGGTGATGAAAGCGTTGCTGCAGATTTTCCCATGAAGAGCCCCGAGGAGAGTAAAAATTTGACAAGCTCAACGCAGCGCAAACCTGATCATGATCCTCAACTGCGAGCAGGACCAAAACAGACAGAGACCAACCTTGGTGCCCAGGAGCAGATTGACCAAGGTACAAACTGTTTAACTGCTAGTGTCCTTTTTAACCACTGCATTCTTTCCGTAGGGGTTGTTGAACGTCCCTTTTTTTATGTAAAGGAGGAAAAAAAAATAGAATATGAATATTATCGAATGGTTTCAGAAACACGACACCCTTAATTTGACTGTTGCCAGAGTGGAATTTGTGAGTGGGGTGGCGGCCCCCGGTGGGAGGGGGGAGGGGGTAGTCCCTATTTATATGGTCTATACGGGGATGTGCCGCTGGACAGGGTATGGTTTTTGCCCTCTCCATCCTAAAAACAGGGTATAAAATTTTGAGCCAGTCGACGTCTGTCCTAATCAGGGTAATAATGAACAGGGTGTTGCCTGCACGATTGATTTGATTTGCTTGATGAGATTTGTTTGTTCTTCAAGTATACAAAAGCAATGACTTCAATGTGAATTTACTCAATTGCAATTGACCGGTCACCCTCAGCTCAATCAAAAACCGCATGCCTCCCTCGAATAAACACCGCACCCAATCAGATGAATGCGACATTTATTAGTAATTTACACCATTTACACAATTACGATTCTATCTCAGCATTATAGAAGAGACATTGTTCTGTTTTATACAGTAATACAGTCAAACCCCGCCTCATGTGCCCCCCCCCCCCCTTAATACGGGCACCTTATTATTACGGACAGTTTGCTTTGCCCTAGGGGGAAAGAAGGCCCTTACATTTTCTCTAAATTCAACCCGCTTAATACGGACCCTTAGTTAATACAGCCCCCCTCAGTGTCCGTAATACGGGGTTTGACTATGTTTATAAGTGATTTACCGCAACTGTTGTCGGTGATTAAGAAACGTGATTTTGAAAGACAAAACATCGCCCTTGAGTAAACGCAACATCAGAAACGATGAAAATTTAGTAAATTTCTGCAGCATTTAATCTAGTAAATACGGTTATCGTGTCTCTACTCCCAAACTTTGTGCAGTAGGGGTTTTTTTATACATTGATGAGTTATTTGTTAACTGAGGTTCTTTTTGTACTTTTGATTATTTATCCTCTTCATTGTTTGAAGTTAAACCGACAATACCTCATGGTTCCTTGGTTTCTCACGCGGTTCCTGCATCACCATCAGCAGTAGACGCACATATACAGTTGAAGAGTTACAATAAAGGGGGCTATTCAGTGGTAATTACTGGGGGCATTCTATGCTGCAACAGTGATGATGAAAAAGGCATTTTCATGATGAAAAGTGGGACTGAGTTTGTTATTGCCATAGGAAATAACAATAAACATGGTAAGAATTAATTAGGGGAGCAGGTTGATTTATCGCTACCGCATGTAAGGTTGTATTGTGGATTCCACGCTGCGGATGCCGGATTCCAGGCGCTGGATTACGGATTCCTTGACCGTGGAATTTCCTTGACAGTAGAACTTGGATTCCGGATTCGTTGACAGTAGAACTTGAATTCCGGATTCCAATCGTTAGCGGGATTCCCGATTTCTTGAGTTGAATTCTGGATTCCAAAACCATGGATTACGGATTCCATAAGCAAAAATTTCCTGGAATTCGGAATCCGGATAAAAATAATTCCATCCGGTTGTCTGAGACAAGGAGGTTTCTCTGCTGAGAAAGTAACGTTTTGTGTTAACTCCCGCAGGGTACCCTCCATTATGGCCTATATGGGGAGGGTCCGCCCGAAAGGGGTACTTTAAAATGTTAGGCTTCAGGTTTATGAAAGGGTAGTGATTTTATTGGTTGAGGTATATTATAGCAAGGAGCCCCAAAGTTTGACCGCTTTTGATTTATTCCCATTGTTTCGTGCAGTATTAATCCAATCAGAAGCCAGCTGAAAACTGTCCTCCACTTCTGACTGGTTAATGTCTGCATGAAAGAATGTGAGTTAATTAAAGGAGGTCAAACTTTCGGGCTCCTTGCTGAAGGGTAGGGAAATCTGTCATTTCATTCGGTAAAAAGGCCCAGAAGGGCTAACAGAGGCATTTTACATGGTATGTAAAGGCGTCCCTTTTGTCAATACAAGGTATAGGAAAGGGGTACCTTTTATGTCAGAAATAGTAAGAGGTTTGAACTTGGGGCGGACCCTCCCCGTAAAAAACTTTGTTTAGTACCTCCACCGGTAGGCTTGCTACAAGTCGACCTAACATAAGTTCTTGAAAAGTGATCGAAGCGAGCTTCAATGCATGAAGTCGCGCAGCGACCGAGCGAGCGACGCAGTCTCGAGGTCAACTTGTTTCCCCCGAATGGATTTGAGTCATATTATAAATTCACGCGGGGAAAAAATGATTGACATACGCTTTGTCGGGAGCGGCGTGAAATATCACTCACTGTCCTATTGGTCAATTGTCATGACGTCACCGTTAGAATTTTCGACCGGTGAATTTAGCGCCAAACAGGTATGAAAAGTCCTTAAAAATGGCATAACCAACCAGTGAAAAAAATAAAGGACTTTTAAAAAGTCTACTCCACAGGTTCCTAACTTGACCAAAGGACAAAGGCGTAGATAAAAACAGCAACAGGAAAAAAAGTAAATGTAAATTGGTAAATTGGCTTTCATTAGCAGGGTTTAATCGAGGGTAGCCTTTATTCCTGATAATACGGTAAACTAAAATGTATATTATTTATTTTCTCTTTATCCGTAGCTGCTGAGGTAGACATTACATTTGGGGAAATGTACCTTGGGGTGTGGCTGGTGGAAGCCAATCGAGATCTTTTTCACAACCCACTGTTAATTGAAGGGTCCTCTTGGGCACCAGGCAGGCTTAAATACTTCAGTGTCTCAGACGACAACAAGCCAACGCCCAGTGATTTATTTGGTCCAAATCCGAAACTGAATGGCCAGATCATCCTTGAGTTTAAACCCGAAGTGTTGATGCTAAAGCTTTTTGTGAAGCATGTTTGGAAGGATGGAGAGAAGGAGGTGCTCATGCCAGATTTCCAGACAGCGACTATTGGAGCTTTAAAGCAAAGGATTAAGAAGATTCACAAACTTAACGTGTCATGCCTGATAATGGGTGGAAAAAAACTGCCTGAAGATAAAACCATGAGGTTAGTCTAGAATGGTTGAGTAATATGTAGTGTGTACACAATGACTCCAAATTTCTAACAATTATTATTAACCGCACATATAGGCAGTCCAATCTCTCATTTTTCTCCTAGTTTACAATTTTGTTACTTTGACAGTAATATATTAGCGAAATGACTCGGTAACAAAAGCGAAAAATCAACAGAAAGAAGAAAAAAAAAAACGTTCGGGAACAATTCCATAATCCATTACCAACCCCTTCTTCCTTGTTAATATTTTACGTTCCTCGAAATGCTCACTAAAATTTATTCCACCTAAATGAAGCCTAGGAAATGCCGCGCAAAAATGGAGAAAATAGGGGAGGGCGACGTCCACCTTTTTTACAATTTTTAGTAAATTTTATTGCAGCTTTGTTGTGGTCCATTAGTGAGCCTGGGACGTTATTGAAGAAGCCACCCGTAAGAGTTTAAAACACAAAAATATTAAGAGCTTCTCTGCCTTGTCCCCCCATACAGCGTCTTCCCAGGCCTTCGCGGTCAATGCATTTCGGTGAAGTATCCGAGACGAACGGCCACGTGACCCGAAACGCATTGGCCGCGAGAAATAATGAGGCCCAGGAACTAGGGAAGAGCTTTTCCTGATTTGTGTTGTATGAAACCTGGGGGAGAGGAATACAACAATTTTTTAGGGGAATGCTCAGCTTCAAGGTCCAACCCCTTACACCTTTTAAATACCATTTTCAACAGAAAAGGTACCCCTTTCGTATAACCTCTGTTGACAAATGGTACCCTTTTCACGTACCTAGTTTAGAACTTTGCATCCATTTTAAGTGCTGTAATTACATTTTCTTTTAAATGTGAATAAATAACAAAACTGGAAAATTTTGTCGACTTGTCCACACCCATAAATCCTTCTGTTAGCCCTATTGTTGGTTTTCACATGACGTCACTAAAATTCGAACTACAAAACTATCGATCCTACCGAGATTTTACTTTCATGATGTATTATAGCAGATGAAAACTAATTTTCATACAAATTTTCGCTTCTATAGGGTTCTTGGTTTTGTGATAGAGTACGCGTGAATTTCTAAGCTTTTGCAGGAGCCGATCACGGTGGCTTTTGCGTGACGTCGCACTTACATGACGGCCAAGAGAGCTTTCATATAATTCATTTAGTAAAATCCCTACCATTTCATATACCTGAAGCCTGAGAAAGGTACCCTTTCGGGCGGACCCTCCTCGTATACGCCATTAGGGAGCTTTTAAGCTTAAAAGCAACAACGACGGCGACGGCTAAGAGAACGTCACTTAAAAAGGGAGTTCGCGCTACGTCAAACGTTATCGCGTTTATTCCAGCTCTTCTTTCAATTCTTCAAATTTTTCTGGAGTTGAATTCTAAAAGATTGTATCAAAGTTCAGGGAAAGAAAAAGAAAGTCGTTGTCTTGTGTTCACGTCCTCGACCAAACGTGAAATTAGGCATTTTCATGTTGTAGTCGAGCAGCGACGAGAAAGAAATGTACAAAAAAGCGTGATGCACGTATAAATTAAAGTTATTGTTTTGCCAATAGGCCATTTCCGAGTTCCCCCGGGCCTCTGTTTCAAAACGAGGGTAGGTGCTCAGCCTTTGACATGGAAATCATTTTTCATTCTCTTGCAAATAAAACTCATTTTCAGAGGAAAGGTTGTGCACCTAGCCTCAATGTGAAAGTGAGGGGTTTTGGAAATCGGAAGTGGCCTATTTAAACCTATTGCTTTTTTGCCGTTCTTGTTGCCGTTGCCGTCGTCGCTGCTTAAACTCCCTAATATTATAGGAAGTCCCCCTCGGGGTATAAACCTTTAGAAGTGCTGGGCTCGAATACCTTAACTGTTTACTACCAATAATTTTTTTTGCTTCTTATGATGTAAGATTAATTTTGTTTTTATAGCTCTTACGCCATGGAGAACGCCAATGAGGTAATTCAGGTACTCTACGAAAAGGAGGAGCTTGAGATTCAGTATTCAGGAAAAGTTCTCACCATGACTGGGGATCCTTCCTCCTTATCTCTTGATGATGTAAAAGGGTTCATCCAACAGGAATTCAGCATTCCAAAGTTGCAACAAGATCTCCGTTTTAATGGGGAAAAGGTCGAGGAAACTGAGAGCCTTTTTACAATATTTGTAAAATCAAAAGAGAAACCTGTGATCAGCGTGTGTATCAAAGAAATCAGAATCAAAGTGTGTCTCCCCGATAAAAGTTCACATGAAGTCACCATAAAGTGGCTTGCAACAGTTAATGACCTCAAGAAAAAGCTACACACTGAGAAAATTTGTGAAACAGTGGAAATATTAAAGTTCAATGATGATGACATCAGTGACGAAGAAAGCAAGACGTTGGTCGAGTTAAAATTCCAAGAGCAAAATACAGTGCATGTACAGACCAGAAAGACTCAGGCTCACACAGGATACCCCACCGGTGATTTTGGGTAAGGTTATTTAATACTTCGCAACACTCTTTACCATGTTCATATAACTGTGTGAAATTTGCCACTGACTTTTACGTTGTGTTCACACCTTTATTTACTTCAAAAAAAGTGTAGTCTCCTTCTCAGCCAGTTTTAGGATGTCACGCAACGCTCTCCCAAAGGAAAGGGCATTGCCTTTTTGGTGGAGCATTGCGTGACATCCCGAAAACGAATGCGAAGACGGCAAAAGAAATCCATGACCAAATATGGTATTGTTGTGAAAGTCCTGGCAAAGACGTTATTTTTGTCACACACTCGACTTTTTAATATGCTGCATGGATTGATAGATCGACGCCAGTTTATAAACAATCCCCGGGGGGGGGGGGGGGCGATACATACAGAAGACTCCCATACAAAATAGATAGGGATTTCATCGAAAATTTTTAATAAAACCCCTAAAAAAATAACTAATTTGGGCGTGACTTAAGCCCTTTACCTCCAAAAGATAACAAAATACTTAACTGAATAGAATTTATGGTTGCTACATATCTATTCGCGTGCAAATCTAGACGAAATTTTGACGTCTGAAAATAGGAGCTTTTTCCTGGGAATACCCTATGAGAGATTCCAAATCTGTAATTTACGATCCTAAACAAGAGGAAGAGCAACTTCCACTCTTTTAAATGGAAGGCTTTCCCGGAAACGGAGTAGGTACTTTACCACTTTACATACTTACTTTATTGTTACCAAAAGGAAGTGATTTACCAAAAGGTTACCAAAGTGATTTACCAAAAGTTACCAAAAGGAAGTGATATTTTGAGTAACTCTTGTTTGAATTGCCCCTCTTCAGTTTGGGATCTTTTCCAAAAGAATGCACTAGAAGATAAACCTTTTCCAGTATACTTACATTGCTTGATATCTCTTTCTTCCTAAAAGGGCCCGGACAAGAGGATTTGGCTCTGGGCGTACCAGAGGATTTGATGAACATCCTGCAGGTAATTTATTCCAACCCTAGTGTGACCCACTTCTTGGAAGTCATTGGAAATTCCTACGGGGATGTTGGCCTTAAAGAACCAAATTTTGAAAGGGAAGAATGAACCCAAACTTTCCTCTCTTCTGAGGAGTTGGGGAGTTGGGGGGAGGGGTCAATCTATTTAATGGACCCTCCCAAGGGGAAGAAGAAAAGGAGATATTTTCTTCAGCAACACATTCAACAAAGCATTGCTTAATACGACTGGCCTGTTGTGAGAACAAATGCCGACATTCCCTAACATCCCTTCACTGAATAGAGAGATGTCCTTACGTCACGTTGCCATGGTAGCGAAATTTCTGGATCTCAACAAACCGTGGTCCCCAACCTCGTACCCAGGCCAGTTCGCGCTATCCGAGTTAAAAGAGGAGGCTTGAAACCGAGTGCGATAGCGCGAATTTTCCCGACAAGCTAGACAGGTGACGTCACATCCGAAATCGCCGAGGACGACTGGGAACGAGGCTGCCTGGTTCTCCAAATATGGCAGAAAAAACGAAAAACTTGAAATGACTTTCCTGTGCATGATTGCACTCAGAAACAAAACAGTAGCCCATAGGTTTCTTCCATTGTTCAACAACACGAATGACCGTCTCTGTAAAGAAAGATTTCGCACTTCTCCTTTTTATTTCACTCGCTCTATTCACACGTTTTTGTTTGTTTTAAGGATCAAGCACATTACGCACCGAAACAGACGACATACAACCCGACAGTGTGGGAGGATCCTCTAGAAGGGTACAGCATATTTTTTATTCCATTTAGTATTTTTTCATCTAGACAGCCATTCACGTAATGAGATCAAATTTCAGGTTCTTCTTTATGTTTCTGATTTTGAATGGTACTGGCAATAGATCTCGGCTTGGTTCGAAACTTGGATTTTTTGAACTTGAATACTGATGTGTTGGTGTTCACAATTTTTGCGCTTAAGATGAGGTGTTTGTTGAGTTTCCATGTTTCTGTTGATATAGTCATGAACTTACGTGTATATCATATGTATGGTACGGCCTTATCGACATTTATGTCTTAAAATCGATACTAACAGTTAATAATAAACTCTTTTTCATAGCCGTTGAAGGAGGGCGTTGTGATGCTTTGCGGCAATGAAGAGAGTGTTAACAGGAAATTCCGTGTAGACAATGAAGTCAAAGAAAAATGGAAATTTTCTAAGGAAAAGGCAGTTATACTCACAATTCAACTCGTAGACCACTGGTACGTGTAAATTAGCTCACACATCTCTGCAAAAAGCTTAAAGATTCTGCAGAAAAATTCTGTGATTGAGATATTTATGCAAGTTAGTTATTTCTATGTTTCGCGGCTGGGGCACCTGATGTCCTGCGTTGAGCGTCTTGTCGTTTGTCTTGGGTAAAAATTCCTTCAGTACCGTTTTATGAACGACAACTGTCGACCAATTAAGGGGCAGAACGCACCGCATCACCAACTCAAGCATAGGAAATATTTAGACATCCTGGGTAATTACTATTTACAAGGAAAAACCGGAAATTTCAGTAGGGAAATCAAATGGTTCGCCTCATTCTGTTTGGGACACTTGGTCAGAAAAAATGGGTTGTGATTTGAAGCGATGCAATTTTTTCTGCTCTGTTTAGTCTCTTCACGCTCAGCATCAAAGTCAATTGTTAAGTTAATTGCATCAGATTCCATTCAGATGGTCTGAGTAAATGTTAAGCATCCCTTCCTTCTCTTTATCATGTTGTTCCCCTACACTAGAAACCTCTGTCTCTCCATCTCTGTTAAATAGACAGGGTAACGTTCGCAACTTTATCCTTGGGGGTATCTCGTCAGACAGGAAACTTCCCTGCAATTTCCCTGTCTCCAACACGATCTTGAAATGTTTGGTCGGGGAGGTTGCTAAACACCATATCTTGTTTGAAGGGTAGAAGGGAGGGTAAAACAAAGGTTATTTTGTGTCTAGACTGGGAGCAGCTTTTTCTTCAAAGTTTTTGAGGTAGCTTCTGCTGTCACCTTTATTTCGTGCTGCCCCCGTTATTTGCTCCTAGTGTAGTTTATGAAAAAACATTTAAACTACCCGTAAAACCTTTTATCTAGCTCTTTAGCTTGGCTTTTTCTAAAGCTGACTTCTCCTTTCTCCTTTATGTCAGCACGGGGGCATCGACAGCGACAGGTTCTTCAGCATCCTAATTGCCGATCAAGGGATAAAAGGTTGAATGTCAACTCCTTGCGCCATTCGGTTCTGAGTAAAAAGAGAGATTTATAGTGACGTTTACGGTAAACGACAAACGGTCAGATTCAAGTTGAGAATTTCTCAGAGAAAATAGGGAGCTTAAGCAATTACGACAGCCACGACATCGATAACGGTAAAAAAGCAGTGGGTTTAGATTGGCTAATTAAAAACAACAACTCCGCACGTGCATCACGCTTTTTTGTACATTTCTTTGCCGTCACTGCACGACTACGACGGGTAAACAGCTAATTTCACGTTTTGTGGAGAACGTTAACACAAGGCAACGTCTTTCTTTTTCTTTTCTCGAACTTCGATACAGTGTTTTAGAATTCAATTGCTAACATTTGACGAAATGAACGAGATGGAATAAGCGCGATTAAGTTTGAAGCAGCGCGACTTCACTTTTAAGTGACGCTTTCGTTGCCGTTGCCATCTCTAATGTGCAGCTAAAAACAGTCCAAAACTGTTAAAGACAAAACTAACGTGAAGCAACTAATTTTGGTGTAGAGGTTATTAACAGTGAAGCACAAGTTAAGGGAAACTTTGGTCATGTGGTTTAAATTGAACGTCTCTAAATCTCTCTAATATCTAAGCTCATCAACTCAGATTAAAAAACCCATCTAATCTTTGGTACGTTGGAACTTACTGAGTGTAATTAGTATTGTGTGGTTAAATGTAATGTAGCTGCGTTCACAATCGCTAAGGAGACGTAAGGACTGCATTAGCTTTGCAGGGGGTCGACTTTAATGACACTCGTGATAGCAATAATATAAGGCCTTAAAACGGGCAACTTGTATTGCAACATTGCTGCATAACAACTTGAAATGCCAGCCTCGACCAAGAGCTCTTCTGCGCATGTAGAGGAGAGAGATCAAGCATTCCCAAACCCGTAAGCCCTGGGGTCGAGAATGCTTTAAATGCAATCTCGACCCCAGAGCTCTTCTGAGCATGACGGCCGGGGACGCCAACAATCAGCGTAAGCACTGGCGTCTAGATTGCTTTAAATGTTATGTTGCGCGTTTTACCACCCATGCGCAAACCTGTCTAGCAGCAAATCAGGTTGTTGCAAGTTGAGTGAATACTAATTTCTGATTGGAGTCACACCATACACGGAGGTACGTCGCTTGCTAAAATGCGCAACATGTACATCGCTGTTGACTCGTTTTGTAGCAATGTCCTAAAACATGTTTTAGGCAGAACGTGAAAATTGCCGTTAAGAAGAACATCTCACGAGTGTTGTTGGTCTTTGTTCTTCAGTAAGTGTACAATTCGAAACATCACATTAGCTAGCGTTTCAAACTTTATTTGCATCGAAACTTGGACAGATGCTGTAATTGTTGCTAGTAAAAGGCAGCTGAAATGATGGATAAAGTGAATGAAGCAGAATGGCAAGAACGAGCAAAGTAACATTTTACAAATCAGTCAATTAAAAGGAGCTGTGTCACGCAATCCTAGCGAACTGGCCACCACACTAACTGACAACAAGTGCTTAAAAAAGTAAAGGAACGTTTGTAAAAGAAGGCACAGATGGACCCTAGTGAAGAAGGTAAAAACGGATTTCAAAAGCCGTTTTGAAAACCCTTCAGCTTGTCAGCTTTTTAACCTGGATCTGTGTTGTTGCTAATGTTAACACTCGCGAAACATAAAAGTTTATCAAGAAGTTGTGATTTTGTCTTTTAGAAGTAATGGCTTTACTAACGGTAACAGAGGTTTTTACGTGCAAATAACAAAACTAAACGAAATGGATTACTGCCGTGACACAGACCCTTCAAACTTTTCCTCGTTAAAACAAAATCCCTTGCAATCACGATGTGTGGGAAGTAATTCAACTTCTTGCTCTGTCGTTAAGGTTTGCCCATTCTTGAAAATTCTTTGTCGTAAAAAACTCTACTCGTTTATGTAAGAGTTATTTTCATATACACAACTCGCATACGATCTGACGGGAACAATAGGGCCATTTATACGAGGAAAAATAAGACGCGAACTTTCCGTATAAACGGCACATTTCGTCTAAAATAAGACGCGACTTAGCTAAGACCCGTCTTATTTTAGAACAGCCCTTAACACCTGTTCTGAGGTAAGATGCGCCTTAGCTAAGACGAGAAAAACTTCGTGTAAATGACCGTCGCGTCTTAAAAGAGATGCGAACGCATAGTACGCATGCGTTAATTTTTGGCGGGAAAATTATCGCTTACCCCGCGGTGGATTGGCAGGCCACTGGCGGGGAAAAATTGTTTACAAATTACAACGCGTTTTCGTTTCCTGGTCTATTCTGCTTCATTTTTTCTTCGCTCAAATACAATGAGCATGCCATTAAAGGTAAAAAGAAACACTTGGTCCATCGCGGAGGAAAAAGATTTTTTGATATTATGTAAGGAGAAGGTGATAACAGACCTCCTGGACAACTACGTGACATCTGCTGGTGTAAGTAGACCCTTTTAACTTTAAACTATCACAATTTATATTTACCAACCAAATTGCTATCTTCATATTATAAACTTACATTTTAATAGTAAGTTTAAGTGTAAAGAAGACTTAGATAAGACATGCTCGTATAAATGGTCCAGTTCGCTATTTAAGACGCGTCTTATGTAAGACGCGTGTTATTTTTCCTCGTATAAATGGCCCTAATGTGGATGCCAAAAGCGTTAGTAGGTGCAAAGTCAAAGATAAAACTTGTCCTACGTGTAGAGGTTAATTTTCCGGTAAGATTTTTTACAGCGCTGACTTTTCTGTATGGATTTCTTAACTAATTTGTTCCCAGGTTTTCTATTTTCAACTTTTTACAGTGCATGATTTATTAGTAATTAACCGTCCAACACGATCTCTAACATTAATTAAAGATGTATTCCTTAAACCTCACCGGCTTGACTGATTCTACGAGTTGGGGTGCATCTTACAGGCTAAGAGGGTAGTGCCTTAACTTTGCCAAGGCAATACAAAGAAGGTCAAAACAGAAATATGGAAAGTCCTTCTCAATTTTAAGCATTTGACGAGCCGCTCACATCTAACAGTTTCATACCGGACACTGGTCTTGGTGAATAACGCTCTTCGATTTCATTTATGATCTCCTCGTCGTCAGGAGCTTCTACTGTTAACGTTATGTGTCCTGGTTTCTTGCTGCTGTCGTCGCTGGCTACGCTCTGATTGTCATCTTCCGAGTCAGAGTCGTTTTCCGATTCATCTTCGTTATCGGAAGAGTTATCTGATTGGTCGTCCGCTTGCGATGCCTCTTCCTCGAGCCGTTTCTGTTCTCGGTAGCAAATGAGCTTATCTAATAGCTCTCTTTCGTTGTGCTTTTTCATCACTTCATCAAACAACGGAATGTTGTCGCAAATATCATTTTCTGTAAAGTCTTCGTCCGTTTCTAGAACCATCATCATCATTATTTTCTTTTTCTTGGAGGCATTTTCTGGTTCAAACCACGTCGCTTGTCTGATGTCTTCCATGCAAATGTTCCTGAGCGCGTATTGAACGTTTTCCGACATCTCTTCGATGCTGTCCAAGTTGAGCTCAAACTGATTCTTGGGTTCTTTGTATGCAGGTTTAATTGCCGGACCGACTTGCTTGCCAACCGCCTTCTTAACGGAATGCAACATAAAGTCCAGAAGTTCGTGCTCGTTGGACTGTATCGACACATCGTTTGCAACGGTGTTCAGCGCATCGTTTAAGATTCCAATAAACACATTCATGAGTACGAAAAACACGGACACAACGTAACCGAAAAAGAACATAGGACCCAATATTCGGCTCGAGTCCGTCAACGCATGAAAGTCGAAACTTCCAAGGGTCATAGACATCATGCTACCAAGCGTAGTTGGAAAAGTGGCGTATTCTTCATTGTCCACTCCGAAAACCGCGTACGCGAACTGACAAAATGCAAGAAATAAAACGAAGAACAACATCATGAAAGACATCAGCGGCTTGGAGGCTATTTTGATGGTTTGAATCAACAGGGAGACGCGACGGTTGAACTTCAGCAGGCGTAGAAACTTCAGGACCGAGAAAAACACCGCGAAAGCTGTTGTAGCGGACACCCACTCATCCAAGAAAGCCACGTACTGAAAACTGACAAACTTGCCGGGCGTCTCGAGCATGTTACCAATGGTGTATTTTGTGATGGCCAGACGTGCAAAAAACAACCCGATGGCGGATAAAGAAAAGCAAAGAACCAGCAGCTCGGGATAGTTCCAAGGATCACGGAAATAATCTCTTCGTTCTTTTCTGTACTTCTTGACCTAAAAACAGGGAAATGTTGATCATTATACGTTTCTGGGAAACTGCCCACCTACCCCTCCCCTAAGCCAACATTAACACTTACTTCTCACTTAGGGCAAAATATTGGCTTAGGGGAGGGGTAGGTGGGCAGTTTCCAACATAAATCGCCCCATGTAAGGTAATCCGGATTCCGGAATGCGAGGAATTTTTGCTTGTGGAATCCGGAATCCTGGGCTTTGGAATCCGGAATACAGCTCAAGGAATCCGGAGTCCTACTAACGATTGGAATCCCGAGTCCACGTCCCACTGATAAAGAATCTGGAATCTAGTGCCTGGAATCCGCAATCCACGGCGTGGAGTCCAGAATCGAAGACTGTCTTAGATTACCTCACAAAGGGCGATTCTTTCCCCACCATAACTGCGAAATATCTTTTTTCTCCTTTATATTTCTTTTACTGTTATTTTAAAATTGCAACGAAAAGTAGATACAAAATTTCGGAGTAAAAGTTGATAGAATGTTATTATAAGCTTAATACTAATGACCTTTCTGATATGGGGGGTAGAGGGTGACGATTTTACTCGCTAAAACGACGACTAAGCGGAAAGCGTGTCGTTATTACGGAATTGTTGTGAAAGATGACATGTTTAACACTGATTTACCGACCAAATAGGAAAATACCAAGGGCTGCAAAGCAATGCAAGTGATCAGCATAAAGGATGCGTTTAATAGGGCTCGGTTCTATTTATCCTCTGCCTTACTTTCCGAGATTCCCTATACAGAGAATCCCCAAAAGAGTTCTTCAATACTGCCGATCCCGACCCAAAATTTCGTGCAATCCCGTTGTTCCGAGGGTTATTTTTGGCATCCCGCATCCCGCACATTCTCTCAATCCCTAATCTCTGCCCGATTTTGCTTTAAAATCCCGAAACTCGAGCTTCGAATAAGGGAAGTCCCGGATCCCGAAAAACATATTGGGGACACCCTATACAGGAGAGGTAGTCCGAGCAGTAACAACAGAGGACAGGAGAACAACGTTCAGGTGTAAAGACGTCTGGGTAATGCCGGGCGGTCGGAGTTCGCTGGTCACAATGAGTGTGGCTCACTAACAGTTGCGATAAAACAAACACAACAAACATCGCCCTATGGAACTCAGATAATCATTTACAGTCGTATAGATCGTTTTCACACACACGGTCAGCGGCTACGCAAATTTCATGGAACAAAAGACATTTTTACATAGAAAAGAGTTAACAGTTGTACACCAACATGGCCGCCGTGACGTCAAGGGAAAACGATCTATTCGTATTTTCGGTTATCCTACCTGCTTGTACAGGAAATAAAGCAAAAAGGCCATGTAAGTTATTTCACAGGCCATGACGAACGCCATTTCCGGTCCTACATAACGGTAAAGCCTTAAGGTTTGAATTTTCGGATGGTGATAGTAGCCCCCAGTGGGTAAAATCTCAGATAACAGTGTGATGACGCTGAAAAAGTTGGTCTGAGCATTGTAGATCGTAAACTCGGCGAAGATGGCTCTCGTGTAACGATCAATCCAGCCATTGGATTCAAGGTGTGTAGTTAAATCTTCGGCTTTGCTGCGGTCATCTCCGAAGTCTGCTACGTATCCTAAAGAGAGAATACAAAAGAATATATATTACGGTGATGTTATTGATTCTTAAGACACGAAGGACACGTTGAAGTTAAAGGGAGAGTTTGGTCAAGCAAGCTTCTAAGCATTACTAGAGTCCCTGTTGAAACGTGAAAAGCGAAAAGAGACTTTGCGAGTATAAACAAATATGTGCAAAAATACTGAACGTGGGGCCTAATCAGTGTATTTAAGCAAAAGACCACACTTTCTATGGTTTTACCGGCCTGATAACCCACTTGGGATGTTGGGAGAACACTCTACATACATACATACACTCTATGAGTTTACCGGCACAATAAACCATAGGTTTTTAACCAATCAGAACGCGGCACTATCCTAGTTATTTTATAACGTAATAGAGACCGCCATTGAGCTAAGATTTCAACGCACAATTCACCGGGTTTTCCTTTTCTGTATAGCGATTAAGAGCCTAAAGGGTTCTACTAGTAGGGGCTCGAAGGTATCGATTGTAAAGTGCCATAGTATGTTCCCAAACAAGACAATTCTATTTTAAGATAATAGCCATAACTTAACGTTATTCATCTTACGAGAGGAAAAAGCGCGCTAATAGGTGTAATCGTGAAGAGACGAAAAACAGGACAGTGGAGCAACCGGCTTTTCGCCCACTCTATTACTCCTGAGGAAAATGAGGGACTACTCGTAGATATTTTTAAAGAATACTTACCCCCTCCCCAGTAAGTCGCATACGTGCCCCAGTACGGAGTCCCCTTCAGGGCCCATTGTGATTGATAAGTCCATGGGGAGGGTTCCACTTCTTCGCCTTCCGTGCTTTTATTTGAAACAAATGGTTCCCAGCGCCGCTCGTACGATTCTGAATCTTCGTTATCCCAGTCATAAGCTACGTTACATTCATCGAAAATGTTGCTGAGGAAAGGTATCAGTTTGCATTTTCCTGCAGGAAAAAGAAAGCGATAACTTAACATGCATTAGCAAGTTGGTTAGTTAAAGGGGCACGATCATTCGTTTCCATGGTTTGTTGCGTCGAGGAAGGAGACTCTCGCTAACCGAGTCGTTGGGTTTTCTGTGATTTGAAGAGCAGTCTGTGCTTGTGGGTAGGGCTGTGATATGGCAGCAATGTTGGGAGAAGGAAAAAACATTTTTAGTTGAAAAGGTGCTTCTAAAATATGTCTACAATAGAGAAAAAGAATAGTTAGAAAAAAACTGTCAACAAAACAATGCTAGTATTAGATACAGCGAGTGCATCAGTTTGATCATCGTTCGCTTTTAAATGGCCTTTGGGAGAGGTTATTTTAGCAAGTAGGACGCAACTCAGTAGCGGTTTCCGTTGTTGAAGGGACGCCGTTGTAGAGCGGGTGAATTGAATGTATAGATTGTTCCCCGGGACTCCCAGGGGTGGATCCGGGAATTTTTTATTTCGGGGGGGATGGGGGGAGGGGCAAACTTTGGTTCAGACAGGATCTAGGATAGATACTGACCGATTTCCTAGAAGAGTGCCGAAGGCGCAAGCTTCTTGGGGGATCTGGGGGTAAGGTTCCCGGGGAAATCATTTTTAGATTTTAACTCCCTAAAGTCTCCTTTCCTGGGTTTCCGAATCATTCAGACAGGATATGGGCCATGTCCAATCACCTTGGATAAAGCCCCTCAACTTGGAAAGTTTTAGATGTATTAAAAATATGTCGACTATTAAAACGGTGGAAACCGGTGTGGATCCGCTTTTGTGTGCGTTCAACTTTTTTGTGGCAAATTACCTCTCCCCCATACCCCCTCCCACCAGTCGAGGTTGTACGTTATAATTCCTTGATCCCTTATTTTACTCGTAAAGGATACATAATTGTCGACCAGCTGGGAAAGCACAGCCGACCACGTGTTTCTCAATCTGTGAACGCCGGTCACCGTTGGCGCAGGAAATACTGCTTTGCGAGCAGAGGCGAACAGATCATAGGAGGGTACCAAAATCAATTACATTTTTGAATGTCCCTGGAATTTAGTTTAGTGGCAAAATGCAACGTGCGTTTCAATAAAAAAAATTAGCCAGTTAAAAATTAATATACAATCCTGTCGATGTAAGAATTTCAGTCTCAAACAAACGTCAGGTTTGATGGGGGAGGGAAGGGGAGACCGGACCTCTCCTGGTTCCGCGACTGCTGTTGGAAAACGTTTCATCGGTTTTGGGGGTGGAAAAGCCTTTTACTAATTACTCTATATCGGTGTCGACGGAGCCTCATAGGCTCTATTTCTCAGCAATATCTTGGAATAGACTGTAACAAAAAGCTACATACCTTTCTGTATCCTTAGTTGGCGGAGCCTGGGGGTACCAACTAGTATAGCAGTGCTGTGATCAGCTACAAAGCCTTCATTGTATCCATAGAGTACATTAAAACCTGTCTCGATATTACTGACGACGATCCTGGTCTTCTTGACCTTTTTACTTTTCTGTTTATCGACTTCTTCTTTACTGGATTCTTTATTAAGGATTTCTAAATCGTCTTCGTCCATGGCAAAAGGTCCGTACCAGAATCTAGGCATTAGAGTGGGGATAAACGTCTCTTCGACCCAGCTCCAGTAAGAGCGGTAATCATCCACCTATAAAAAGAAAGAATTCCGGCGGTTTCACAAACTGGGACCTGCCTCTTCCTCAGTCGCTCGCGATCTCTTTTTGAGGGATATTTGAGTTAATTATTAAGGAAACCGGGCGCGAAAGGAGTGATGGAGAGGGGAGAAAAAAGCGTAGTCTTCCAGTGATGGCAAGGGCGCTTCATCGACTAAATATTACGCCATTCTACCTATCTGGACGACTTTGGACATTTTCGAGCGTTTTGCAGTTTTTGTTACAGGGATTTCTCCTTTCCCCCTTTTCCTTCCCATCATTCCCTGCTCGCGCTTTGCGCTCGTTCCCATCATCCCCTTTTTGAGCTTCTCGCTTGTCTCCAGCTCTCGCGCTTCTCGCTTGTTCTTTCTCCCCACTAAGCCTTGGGAAAGCTTGTGGAGAATTGAATTTGTAAATTATTTGGACATAATTCTTATTCTCTTTTACATTGTATTTGTATTCATTTTGTTTAGAACCTTCTGTCATAATATTATTATAATCTTTCTTAGTAAAATCCAACTAGTGGTCTATCATCAATCCTGCGTTCTGATTGGTTGAGCTACTACTAGGCTATATGTTATAGACCACTAGTAGCGAAAAGCGCCGGCTTTGAAAACCAAAACAAAGGCGGCTGAATCGCGTTTTGCTAGCTAAAGTTGTTTTGTCTCGATATTTTTGACCAACTAGTTGGATTTTACGAAAACAATTATTCCTCTCGCCCTTATGGCCTCTGAGTCAATAGCCCATTAGCCCATTTAGTCAATAGCTATTGACTCAGTGCCCATTCGGGTTCGAGAAATAATTGTTAAATATTATGCGTGAGTGAAAAACAATTTAAATTTAAGGTGGCTCCGTAATTAATACTAGAGCATTTTGCTGTGACAAATATTCGTCATAAGTTTTTCGATTTTAACGCGATGGCTGCGAAATTTTGCAAAGAACAACAGATATCATTCGGCAATAATACGAAATATTCCGATTTCATTGATAGTAAATATTTCTTGAGAAATTAGCGCTTAAAAGGACCCTACTGTTCAAAGAAAATCGCGTCTAGTAAAAAATTTTGCTGATATTTTTTACTGAAATTTCTGGTATCGGCTTTATTGATATAATAAATATGCCAGAGGAATTTCAGAAAAATCGTTGGAGCAGAAGTGCGTAACTAAAAGTCGCTCAAAATTCAGCTGTGAAATTGTTTTGGAATTTCAAAAATAAATTGCTATCAGGTAGAAAGAGCCACCAGTTTGAATTTTCGGGACATGTAAATTCAACGTTTGCTAATTCTTAAAACAAAAGCCGATTGCCTATCGTGCTATTCTTTAAAAGGTACTTTTTAGTTTTAGAAGCACTATAAATTGCTCCAAACCTTGCTCTGAAGTAGAATTACTTGTTCTTCGACAGTTTTAAAATATCCCTTGGCAGTTTTGGCTCAAACTCCTGCTGCATACATTTTGATGTATTGCAATGCATTTTCAAGGACTTTTACTGCTGTTCGTTGCTTCCAACTCAGGAAAAAAGTATTGAGATTGGACGCTACCTCGTATCAGAGCTCAGATAGAACTGTCCAGCACCTTTGTTTATGACTACAAAATGAGCACGAGCGGCAGTTCTGCGAGGAATTCGCACCTCACCCAGGGGGGACGAACGACAATGATGACCATGCCTGTGAACCAAATAACATCACAGTGCAAAATAAAATTATCGCAAAAATACTGCCCGTGAATAAATTTACAACTCTGAAATTTTTGTCACTCCTTCCTTCAATGAATGGGTAATTTTTCCTTGATTATTATGTTTTGCTCTGCAATACATGTTTATACAGATCGGTTCACAGACATGGGCATCATTGTCACTCGTCCCCCCTGGCTGAGGTGCGAATTCCTCGCAGAGCTGCCGCTCGTGCTCATTTTCTGGTCATAAACAAAGGTGCTCGACAGTTCTGTCTGAGCTTCGATACAAGGCAGCTTACAATCCCAATACCTTTTTCCTGAATTGGAAACAACGTACAGCAGGAAAAGCCGTTGAGGATGCATTGCAATACATCAAAATGTATGTAGCAGGAGTTTGAACCAAAACTGCCAAGGGATATTTTAAAAATGTCGAGGAACAAGTCATTCGACGTCAGAGCAAAGTTTGGAGCAATTTATAGTGCTTCTAAAACTGAAAAATATCCTCTAAAGAATAGCACGAGAGGCAATCGGCTTCTGTTTTAAGAATTAGCAAACATTGAATTTACTTGTCCCGAAAATTGAAAGAGGTGTCTCCTTCTTCCTGATAGTAATTTATTTTTGAAATTCCAAAACAATTTCACAGCTAAATTTTGAGCGACTTTTAGTTACGGACTTCTGCTCCAACAATTTTTCTGAAATTCCTCTGGCATATTTATTATATCAATTGAAGCCGATACCAGAAATTTCAGTAAAAAATATCAGCAAAATTTTTTACTAGACGCAATTTTCTTTGAACATTAGGGTCCTTTTAAGTGCTAATTTCTCAAGGAATATTTACCATCAATGAAATCGGAATATTTCGTATTATTGCCGAATGATATCTGTTGTTCTTTGCAAAGTTTCGCAGCCATCGAGTTAAAATTGAAAAAGTTATGACAGAAAATTTGTCACAGCTAAATGCTCTTGTATTAATTACGGAGCCACCTTAAATTTGAATTGAACTGATAAAGTAAATTGACCCCTTGCGGAAATTCCGCCCCCTCGTCAGAGAGAATGCAAGATCGATATTGAATATTGAGCTCTAGATGTGAACTTTTGAAGTCCTTATACGTTATAAGCAGTACAGTATCGCTGCCTCATCAATTATCACAATCAAAAGAAATGATAAAGACGACATTAGAACACTTGAGGTCTAGAACCCATAACCTAGTAACGTCCATCGCTCCTATTGGCTATTTCAAAGGTGCGCACGAGATTTGTCAGTCTTGTCTCGAAGAGTACTATTGGATTGATTTGGGGGACGACTTTTGTCCCAGTTTCCCGCGCATCGTAGCTATAGCCAGTCGCGTCAGCAATGACCAAGGGTCATGCGGAGCCTTAAAAGGGCCTAGATCGAAGACGCGACGCCCCGCTGTGCAGTTTGGCACTCTACTGACAGAGCTCAGTTTTCTACTGCGGTAAATAATAATTCCCCACTGCAGAAACTATAGGGGAGACAGCTACAAGCTCTCGACGCAAAGATTTTTGGGATTGTTTTAGCGGACAAGCGTTACTTATGATTGATCGGTAGTTTTTAGGGCAACCATTAACCAATCATAAGTAACGCTTGTCCACCTAAACGATCCCAGAAATCGTTGTGCCGAAAGCATGTACCTATTCCTCCTTAAGTTTCTGGATTGGAAAGTTAAGGATTCACAGAATACGTCCTTTTAGACGATCTTACCTCTTCGATCCCATCATTTCCTGAATAGGTCGCTTCGTCGAACATATCACGCATAGCTCTTGTCACAGTAAAAGCCATTGGGTCACGGTTACCGTAAGCAATGACAAGAAGTACGCAGAGGAATACGACATATTGGATAACTTCTCGGATAATGATCTTCATCTCCTTCTGTTTGACTTTCAGCTTACGAGCTGCTTCCAGTTTTGCTGGATCAGGCGGTTTATCGACGAAACCAATTTTGCGCAGCGCTTTTTCTTCCTCACTGTTTTTCTTCTGACTGTGCAGAGCTTCCTCATCCGGATTGAGCTCGTTGCTTTCCTGTTCGTTCTCTTCTTCCGCTTTGTTCGGATCTTTAACAACGACGGCAAAGAACATGGCAGCCGCGAACACCTGGAACGCAATTACCGTATTTATTCGATTAACCGCCCTGGGCGCTTATTGAATTTTTGGATCTTGAGAGTGGGCGGTTAAAGAGAGGGGGGCTTATTTGAGAGGGGGGTTAATAGAGGATTTACGGTATCGAGAAATCGGCTTGAAATAGATTCTTGTAGTGTTTAAATACTCCAAAAATTACGGTAAAAGAGATTTTTAAAAAAACGTTGTCGCGTTTTTATTCCGGAATAAGATCAACCGAAAGCAGTGTAAGTGGAAAAGTATTGAATTGATGATTTGTTAACGCAGCATAAAGGGATATAAAACCCAGTTTACTGGTGTCCAAACAAGATTTTAAGCGTGCGAATTTTTTAACTGCGGGACCCGTTTACACGGCGCTATTTGAATTTTAATAATGATAATAATAATAATATTAAATAGAATGATTTTATTTGACCCCTGAAACAGGTAGTAGAATACTACCCACTATTACGTACCTATTCCATTATCTTCTTTTGTTTACTTTTAGCTATTTTTTACTAGTTGTTTTCCTCTGTTTCACGGGTCAAGTAAAATCACTCTAATACTAATAATATTAATTATGTAATTATTATTATTATTATTATTATTGTTATCGGTTTCAGAACCAAACGATTTGAAGTGTTTTTGTCACCGAAAAGGCCCCAAACTCGGAGCCATATCATATTCTTGTTTACCAGTCAAATATCCTTAACAATTAAAGGGACAGCTTCGAATTCTAGAAAGCTAGTAACACAAGTGATACCAAAAACTCACCTTAAGAGGCTGTGAAATGAGCACATCTTGCCAAAATGAGATCATCATGGACGATATCCATCCTTCGGACTTCTCTTTCCCAAACGTTAGACCGTAAAAGATGGTGAACGTAGCAGACACAGTGCAAGTGATAAACACCAGCACGTACGCTATGTATACAAAACAATGAGGTAGCGTCTTTTTCTTTTTCTTTTTGTCCTTTTTCTTGCCATCGTCTTCTTCCTCTTCAACTTCTTCTTCTTCTTTAGTCACAGTCGCATTCACTTCTTCCATTTCGTATTTCGGACTCTGACCGTGAGGGTCCTGGTTCTTATTCAAGCCTTCTTTAGCCTCCTTAGGCCGCGCCTTCCGGAAAAACGTCACGATCAAGATGTTAGCCGGAAGAACAACTAAACTGCTAATGATGCCGATGGACAGTTGCTTTATTGAAAAGCTAAATGGCCCCACGTGAACAGATGTTCCTGAAGATGACTCGGCACCCACTTGATAAAACATTGCGTTGGCAAGCATCGTGCTAAGCAGTACTGAGAGACAACAGGAAAGACGCTGTACTCGTGTAAAATTGCTCTTCGCTGGGCGCGCTACCACCGAAAACCACAAGTGGTTGTCCGTTAAGTTTTTGCGCGCTTCCGTCGAGAACAGCAAATTGAAGCTTGTGAGCTCGTCTTTGGAAGCCGGGATTAGTGTTCGCTCTACCAACCCATCATCCTCTTCCACGGCCAGCCATCGATCGCAGATAAACCATGTTTTTACTTCCGTTTGCACGTCATGAACCATCACCCTAAGAAGGTACCAGGAGGGGGTGGGCCCTGTATTGTCGTGCCAGATTTTTAGAGTCTTAAGCTTTCCCAAGCACTGTGGCACGCTCAAAAGGAAGTAGTCGACGTTTCCTCTGCAAAACTTTCGCCGACCAGGCTCCGTGTCTTTAAGACGGCGCGGGGTAGTCTCGTCAAGGCCACCCGTGAGCACAATGCGAACCTCAGATGATGTTCCCGAGTTACTGACAAATCCCGTGTAAACCACCACCTCGTACATGTACGTGTCACGTGGGTCATTGTCTGGTAATGGAGCCACGCCCACCTTGGAAAATAGAGGAATGAATTTTAACTAAGCCTGCGGGCAAGCTCTCTAATTCGGGGAGTCGCGAGAAGTCACGCGTGAACGGCACGCGAGAGGAGACGCGAGAACGAGAATGGGGGAAGGAAAGCAAGAGCTGGCTCGAATTCACCTTTGTCCTCTTGGCTTCGCCGCTCTCTCTCGCGTCCTTTCGCGGTTCCCAATAAAACAGCCTGCTCACAGGTTATTATAAATTGGCAAATTTAAACATTACGTTAGGAAATAAAGAACAACAAGGAAATCCTTAGTTTCCTTAGAGCATAAGGCCTTCTTTAGGGGTTAGGAGAGGGGAGTTTTTAGAGGGGGAGGGGAGAAGAGAGAGAGGAAGGATAGGCTTTCTCTCCCTTCGCTGTGTCCCCATTTCGCTTCTCTCGCTTCCTCTCCCCTCCCCCTTAGAACTGCCTGATACTGAGGCTATGGTTTCCTACAAAACCATTCACTACTGTAGAAACAGGAAGAAAACTGGGCAGAGTTGACTTTCGCAAAGATTTCTGGGACGATTACCAGAGAGAGTGAAAAAATTGGCCAATAGCTGACCATTACGCCCCCAGTAACGACCCCAGAGGCCTTTGCGAAAAGTTAACTCGGCCCATTTTCCTTCTCTTTTGTAAAGTGGCGAATTACTGTGGCCACTGTCGACATTGCAAGCAGTTCAGCTTGCATCAAGAAGTTCTAAGCAACGCAGGGCCGTATAACACCCCACCCCCCCAAGTTTTTGGGCCCAAGAAGTCAAAACATGCACCCATAATAGTTGAAAATAAAAATTCATCTCCCAGAGCATTGAAGATGTCTTTGCAGCCAGGTGAAACATTTTCTGGTTTTAAGATAAAGTCCGATGTGCCCTCCGCACCCAAAACCCTCTGCTTTTCAAATACAATGAACTCCCTAAAATCTTGCTACCCCCCCAGTTTCTAAAGGCCTGCTACGGCCCTGCAACGTCATTAAGGTGATAACTCGAATCGACGTTACTGAGCAGTAACGTCTTGCTTTGCTTTTCATTATTTAGGCAAACAAATCAGTTGTAATACCTTATACGGCTGCACTTACCTTCTCTAAGTCTTTTCTGTCAGCTCGCCTCGCCCATATCAAAAGAAGAAAGTATAGACCAAAAATTCCGCAAACGACAGAAAACACCAAGGGATTTTTGAGAAGCTCTTCAAGTGAGACTTTACTCCAGTCGATCTTGTTTGGCGGTACGAAGAAGTCGCTTGCAAAGGACGTCAGATGATTGCAACGACAGTGGCGTAACTTTACCGTTGTTTTGGGTCCAGGCTTTAAGATATGAAAAGTATGTGTATATGTGTATGAGTGACATGTGTCTTCAGCTGTTGCTTTCTCCTTTCATAAATGTGATGTTACACGGGAAGATGTTTAGCGCATCACAACGTTGCAACCATACAAAACAGTGTATTAACAATGACGCAACGCTGTATTGCGCTAAGAATACCGTCGTTTCGAATCAGTCGTGCCTAAATGTTATTGGCAGGAATAAAAGCCAAATTAGAGCGAATCTTTTGGCTGGACAAAGTATCTTAGTACACGATATATAATAGGGACCGAGACGTACTTCAGTTCAAACAGAAAGCACAATAGCTACAGATAACAAAAAGACAACAAAAACGATCTTTTGCTTTAGTTAGTCAACGAGAACGCAGGCAAGGCCACAAGGTGGCTCAGAAAGGCTAGAATGGGGGTGGGGAAGGGGGAGGGGGAAGCGCATAACACCTTTCTTTTCACTAGTGCAGCCAACTCTCTCTAAGGCGGGCACCTTCGGGACCGGATATCGGGCGTATAGAGAGTTAATTAAGAGAGATAAAGAAAGGCAGGGATCGCTTCTAGGTGTCTATTTTCAGCGAGGAGTCGGTCTTATAAAGGTGTCCGTTAAAAGAGACTTCACTGTAGAATTGTTCCCTGCCTTTCTTTACTTCTGTTAGTTGACTCTCTATAAGACGGACATCTCTCTAAGACGGACACTTCAGCGCCGGTCCTGAAGGTGTCCGTTTAAGAAAAGAAGAGAGTTTAACCTTCAAGTATACGGCAAATGGCAAACGTCAGATTCAAGTTCAGAATTTCTCAAAATAGAAAACTAGCAGATAAAAACGGCTCAAAACAATTTTTACGGACAAAAAATTGGGTGCAATTACTAATTTATGTGTAGAAATAATGACCAGTAAACGACAAGTAATGGAGAAACTTGGTCAGGTGGTACAAATTCGAGTTTGCCGTTTGACGTAAACGTGATGCTTAACCGCTCTAGACATGACTACAGCTCAAAGATTGGGATCATTTTACGTTTCTGTGAAACTGCCCACCTACCCCTCCCCTAAACCAATATTAAAACTTAGTTCTTACTTGGACCAAAATGTTGGCTTAGGGAAGGGTAGGTGGGCAGTTTCACCGAAACGTAAAATGATCAGATTGTAGGTAAGTTATAGGTGTAGGTCCATGCTTCTCTTTGGGCCAAAATGGGCGGACGAATTGAACAAAAAACTAACTTACCTTACATCCGTCGTACTCCCATTCTTCGGTGGTTTCATTGAGGTATTTACAGCACATTTGAACGATGGTGATGTTGTAGGTGGCTTCCTCCGGGGTATCCTGGGTGTCATTGATAGAACCATTGTAATAAAAGCCGCAGTGCCATGGTCCAGCGGCCGTCTGGTTCAAATCATCGTTATCAATGAACATAAGATACTTGCTGTTATCGGGGCCACTGGAGTTAGCTTGGCTGGAATTACTCGCGCTGGAGTTACTAGTCACGTTACTTGGAATAGGAGCCTTTGGAACCATTTGCCGAAAGTCATAATTTTGCAGTGTGGGTTTGGAGTATTTCCTGCAGAGAACCACTAGCTGGGTGTTGTTGTGCTCGGGAATGGCCCAGATGTATATCGCACTCATGTTATCGGTGACATTAACGTTTATTACTAACATGTCTGCGTTATGCTTTTCCAGTGTATGAGTTTCCGCTGTGGTCTCGCCATTTTCATCAGGGATAAAGATATCCATGTATGTGGTTAGGTTAGAGACGTTCTTAACGTTTCCATTGCCGTCTCTGAGAACCAGTTGAGCAATAGCACCATTTATCTGGCCTCCAAAGGGATTAGTTGAGAACGTTGTCATCTGTCAATAAATACAAACCAGTTAAAAAGTGACTAAAGATCGAGATTTGTCCTTTTTCGCATTCAAAATAACCGCTGAATACAAACACCGATGACACATTGATGACAACGACAACAACAATGTCAATATTCTGGTCATGGCGAGTGTTCAACTGCCACTTGAGAATTGGGCCGAGTTATCTTTCGCAAAGACTTCTGGGAAACCAAAATGGCCAATAATTGATCGGTGCGTCTCCAGTAACGATCTCAGAAACAATTGCGGGACAAATTTCGGCCCCAGTCCCCTTCTCGTTTCTAAAGTGGCGAATGAGAGCAGGGGAAGACACTTGCTTACTAGGCATAGTTGTCAGTAGGTAAAACAGGGGAGTGGGGAGGGTAGGACTGATAAAATGCAGTAACGTCGTTACGATCACTATGATTTGGGCTAAAAAATCATCTATTTTCAATTTATCTTTTGGGATTTTTGTTTGGGGTTTATAAAAGGGCATTCGATGGCCTCAATTTTCGAGGCAGATCTAAATCCTTTTTCGATTAAATATTCAAGGTAGACGAGAGAGAGTAAAGGGCAAGAGAGTGTAGCCTTAAGTGAATTTCATCAAAGTTATTTTTAGACCAATTAAACACTTGAATTAATCACCCGGAAGCTGGTTTCCGGAAAGATCAGCAAACTTTTGTTCAGTGTTGTCAGGAGAGATTTCAACAGTTGGCATCACAATATTCTGCATTTTTTTGATTTGTGGACTGATTTAAATGTGTAGACCTCTCAGGAATCAGACTTCCCGTTTAATAACAACCCCCTAAAAAATAACTTAGGTGAAATTCACATATCCCGGCCAACGCCTACAGATTTCCTCTCTGTTGCATTATACAGTCTTGAGGTAAAGAATCCACACCTGTGCCTGCACCGGTTCTGAAGAGTTTGGATCAAGAGCTCCATCAATTCCTTCGACAGTACATGAGCCAATTTGCATGCTCGTAAACTGGGATTGATCAGCAACTGCTGCTCCCATGGCGACGAGTTCACCTTCAATGACGTTAGGAGCTTCACCTGGTACCATCTGAGCGCACATTAAACCAAGAATGGTATTCATCGAGCCCATGGCCGTTTGCTGAACTGGGCTGGCTGAGCTGCTGTTTGCAGACTGGGAATTACTCTGCAAAGAAAAGCGTTGAATTGAGTGATCAGAACGATCCCTAGAGGGTGTGTGATTCTCACACAAAACGCTACTTGCCAAGGGCGGATTTAGAGGTGGGCCAAAAGGGCCGTGGTCACCCCTTTTTCTTTGAAATTTTGTATTATTTTGTATAAAATTCTCAAAAAAATAAAAAGTATCTAGTATATAGCCGGAAAGTGTCGCGGCCACCCGTTTCTGAATTTTCTGGATGCGCCCCTGCTCGCCACTTAAGAAACGAAAAGGGGACTAGGTTGAGATGATATGTCACTCGAACGTTTTTATATGTGAATGAAATCCTAGGGAGTTAACATTAAAATGAAACTTCTTTCACATTAATTTGCATAATACTACGTAAATCTTTGGATTCGAAATGTTTTAACTTTTACTTTGCCCTATATTGGGAATAAAAGGTTTAAGGAGGAAATTTCAAAATAAGACCAATCAATCTCTCACGAATACATTAAAATTGTCATACAGTCGCACATCTCCACAACGGACATGCTAAGGAAAGAGGTGTGTGTGCTGGTTATGTAGCCGAGGCTCGACCGTGATTTTCTTACCCCACCGGACGACTGTGAAGAAGGTGTAAGGAGGGCACCGAAAGTACCAACAAGACTTGTAGAAAACTCTGTGAGTTGTTCCGAGTTCATTTTATCCGCAACATTCATTGTATTAGAAAGGACATCTGCCATTTTTTCCTGCAAATAATAAAAGAGCAATAATCACACCAGGGTGGACAGAAAGTGAAAGTTTCTCCTCAGGTGAACCCTCAGGTGGCTAATTAATCTCGTACCCAGATCTCCAAAGCTGGGACAGACACACATGAGATCTGGGCATGGGAGAAAACACGTGTATGGGTGGACATCCCTTTTATAGACAATTACAGGCCATTAAAAATCTGGTTGTATTAAAGTGGTTTTTTGCGTGAATCTGTAAAGAGGTTTTAACGTGATTTTGCTTTTGTTTGCGTAGCAGCACTTCGAGATTGGGGAAACTGAAATCTCGCGCTACAAATCAAGACCAATGATGATCCTTGCACCAGCGTTTTAGGGGAGTCAGAGATGCCCTTCCTCGTTGTTCTTTTACAACTATCTCTGATTTCCCTCCTGCTTTTTTCGCATGCTTTGCTCAGCACTATTCTATTTTTGCTTTTACTGATCATCTTTTTAGGTACACACTTCACTCACGCCCTTGGTGTTCAGGTTTCTCGTTTGCGGAGAGAGGGGCATACGAATCCCTCAAATCGCCTGCGTAAGAGGTTAGGCATGATAAAAATCCAGATTCTCTATACTTGTTCACCTGTGACACTTACAGAAGTAGAGGGAGGAATAAGCGAACAAAGCAGAAATATTTGTGTGTCTAATTCCCAAGACATATTTTACAGCACCCTTAGTTGGCGAATGAATATTAATGTCAAACTATCAGTAACAATGTGTGGAGAGGGGAGGCAGAGGGGAAGAAGAGACAATATACAACGATTGAAACCGAATTTTTGAGCCTGCGAGAATAAAAAACCCCGACTAAGCCCGTGTTTTCACTGACACCGCTGGTAAAGTCACGTGATCTACTGCCCGGTCAGTAAGACTCGGAGAAGTCAAAATCATGTGATTGACTTAATATGAACGACCGAGCAGCTATTTTTTACACTTTATAGTAATCGTAATATCAAAGAATAATCGTAGTTTTGGCTGTTGAAATATTGCATGGATAAGTGTTATCAGACTTAAACTATTTCTGTAGCTGAAATCTTCACAGCAACCCGTCTGTGTGTTTAGCATGTTACCTTAGCGCTGTCGGAAGGCTCGCTGCTTGAACCGACAGCGGTCAATGTGCCCGCGATCTGCACAGCTTGGTCAGGATTTGATGGTTCTGATACTTTCAAAATGGTATCAAGCAATTGTTCTTGAAGCTATGAAAAAGAAAACACAATCTTATGTCATCTTGTTCTGTTGCTTTGGTTCTGTTGAACAAAAGATAGGGCTTTGCAAAAGATTCCACAGTTTATAAAAACGACCTTTTGTTATTAAAACAAGCCAACGAATGGATAATTAGAGGGATTGACAAGTTAAAAAAAAGACAACTTAACTACATTTTGGCGATTTTTTTGTCGCAATAGACGCACTTGTGGAGTCACAATGGAAGGAAAAGAAATGATCGTGGGTGTAAACTTTGATCAGTACAGGTAGTTGAGGACCTAGAATTGACCAATCAAAGAACAAGAATTGACTAAGCCATATGATAAAAAATGAAAGGAGCGGGTTAAGGGGTAAATAAGACTGGCGCTCTTCGCCCGGTCTTTTACATTCAAAACTCGTCCCCAGTGCTTTTCCCTCAGAAAATGTTAGGGGCGCCCCTCAAATTTTGTAATGAAATCCCTGAGGATGAGATTGTTACATTCACAGCATTAGAGAGCTTTAGATGTGAGGACAAGGAGGACTACGATTACGAGATTTAACTTAAAGTTTTTTCGTATATTCTCGAAAAATATTCAACCGGAAAGCTTCATTATACTATTTTTTACTTAAAAAATTAGCGTGGTTATTTTTATAGGAGAAGGCTCAGACCTTTTCCGGTTGCAAAATGATTAAACCTCTAAAATTTGATAACTTGTTCCCGGCACCACGACATTTTCGCTAAAACTCGTAGTAGAATGACGACCGCTATCACGTTTTCTCGCCAAAATGACCCTGGCTCACGCAAGAGCACTACTTAGTACTGAGAAAATCTCTTACTCGTAGTCGTCCTCGCCTAAGAATCTAAAGCTCTCTCATAACGTGTCCAGATCATACAAACCTTCTGGAGAGCAAAATGGTGCATTTTTAACCCGGTTGAACAAAACCACGAGGACGCAAATGCTAGCAAAACCATAGTTTTTATGTTGTACCAGAGAAAAAAGGAGCATTTGGACCCAACACATCTAATGGCCCTTGCCATCAACTGGTGTCAATTATCTCACGAAAAAGGAATCTTAGGAAAAAGCTTTCAAAATATTCCCGTCTTTTTAGTCAAATGCTAAGCAACAATGAAACTTTGTAATCACTAACATGCAAGTCATCATACCTCTGCCTGTTTTTGCTTTTCTTCTTCGCTTGGCTCCGATGAAGCAGAATCGCTGCTTTGTTCTGATGAAGATGATTCTCCGCTGCTAGCGGCTGGCGCAAGGAAGGCAGATGCTAAGCTCCCAACGGCGCCCAGCACCGCTTCTGGGTTCCCTTCCGCTATAAGGTTCTTCAAATTGTTTTTCTAGGTTTATGGATGCAAATAGTTAGAACATCTTACATTTATAACTAAACTACTTTCCTGAACTTTTATTAACAACAAAATGTGAAGGTAAATGTTTTCACTAATTTGTTCAGCTACATGATAAGGAACCTGAAGGTATCGCTAAATACGTGTTTCCTTCTTCCAATTCGATAGTTTAGAACAAGGGAAACAACAAGCGTAATCATCACTGTTTATTAGTGAGTTTACGCAACAGGCTGAAGAAGAGGACGGCCAAACGCTTGTGCGTAACAAACGTGACAGGGCTATTATTGCGTGTTTTGTCGCGATCTTCACGTAACATTAATGTTTTTCTGGTTTTTCACAAAAAAATTCTGTTTAAAAGAAGACGAAGTTTGGCAGAAAATTTTATTGAACAAAAATATTGTCACGCCTGTCACACAGGGTTGGCTGTTTTCTTTCCTCTCCCGTCCTGTTGCGTAAGTTCATTATTATTATTTTCGCTGTCGTCATTATCATCATATTCACCATCATCATCATCATCATCATCATCATCATCATCGCCATTGTAAAAACTGTCGTAATCATTATCGCCATCACCGTTGCTATTCTCGTCGTTTTCGTCGCCATTGTCATCATCACCATCATCGTCAATGTCGACGCCATCGTTTTCGCCGACACTGACGTCACGATCAATTGATCACTGACAATATAGTGATGACGATGATGAGACCGCTTTGGTGAGACGACAGTTGCAACGACGATAATGGTGACGATGATTGTGACGTCAATGGTGACCATACCGATGATACTGACAATAGAGTGATGACGATGATGAGACAGGTTTTCTCCATACAAATGGGGCCTAACAGTACCATTACCATTATCATTACTACCTGATTAGCAAGCAGGGCCTCTTTCTCTGCTTCGCTCTGTTGCGGCATTTTAACCTTAAACGACAGAAACAAAGTAACAATCAACTTTCGTAGAATTCCTATGTTTGAATGGCCTTTTTAAGGTAGTTTTACAAATATTTTACCAAATTCACAGAAACTGTAGTAAAGCTAGAAGGAAAGAATAGACAACAGTACCGTTTTTACTCGATTAAACGCCGCGGTGTTTGTTAAATTTTCTGCGTTTCCGATTGGGTTTTTATTTAACCCTTTAAGTCCCAATATCCACATACAAATTCTCCAAACTGATCTCCATACATTTCCTTGACGAATTATTTGAGAGAATTTGGTAAAAGATCAAACATTTTTCTCTTTGTGATCATTTTGTTAATTCTCATAGACTTTGCTCATGATAGTCTATGGATATCGTTAGGAGAAAATTGATTTTGAGCACTATTGGGACTTAAAAGGTTAAGGGCGGCGTTTATTTCGAAATCGTGGTTGTTTACCACTTGGCATTTACATGCGCAAACCAGTAGGCCCTTGAAATGGAAAAATGGTACGCAAAATTAAGGACTGGTAAATTTCGTCCCGGAATCGCGTTTACCCTTTGTACAAATCAGTTCTATTTACCGGAAAACGACCGCGAAGGCTTGAAACTGGTATCAAAGATGGCTTTGAAGAAATGGAACACGAATTTCTGTTTGGAATATTCCGTCCAGAAAACATGACTACCTTTTCAGATGTTCCGCTGTTCCAGGAAGTTTTCCGCTGGAACGACCCAAAAAGTCGTGTTCCATTTACTCTCCAACCGGATTTTCCGGAATCTATTTGTAAATGGTAAACAACCCCTATTTCTTAAATCCCTAGCAACTGTAAAGTAACCGTAAATCGCTTGTAAATATCATGTAATTTGAAGGCTCTAATGTCTCTCTTATTTTCCTGAGACAGAATCGTAAATTTATGGATCCCAGGATGGTGCAGATTACCAGTGAGTTGTACCGATTTTTTTCTTATATTCCTCGAATAAACGCCGGATTCCTCCGATTAGGTGCGGCATCTATTTTGAAGGCGGCGTTTAATCGAGCAAAGACGGTAGTTAGAAAACGAGACTTGGTCTTACGTCATAAGGTCAAAGAGATTCCTGTAACGCGTACCCCATTTGCTCTTAAGGTGGATATTCACTGTCACGTAATTTTTAACTGCGTGCACGAGTAAAATTTACGGCGCGTAATTAAAAGTTGAGTGACGTTGAACTTTTGCGTTTACGCGATACCTTTCATATATTGCCTCTATTTTATTTACGCGCGTAAAATATACCCACGTAAAAATTACATGACTGTGGAAACCCTCCCTTAGTTTCAGGAAAACATAAAGATGTTTTTTGGCCCAGACTGTAAAAGGCAATATTTTAATAATTTTATAATTTTTTATCTAGGCTGTCCATGCCAGAGTATTTGTTAATAATTTTGCCAATTACGCGTTCTTGTTTGCTATGGAACTTAAAGTTAGCTAAGAAGTCACTTGTAAATGACTAAATCACAACTTCGTGTCAAACAAATATGTCTCCCTATGTTAGGCAAACAGGTTTTTAAAAACCAGCTGGTAATCCTCAATACGAGGGGTTGCTGTCTTCCTTTTCAATCGTCTTCAAGTATGTCCATTTTGTATTTGTTGTGTTATGATACCTTCTTTCAGCTCTCCTAACCCTAAAGCCACTTGGTTTGCAACCCTAACCGTACAACAACGGAAATACAGTATAACCCCGGTAACTCGAACTCTCGAGGGAAACGAAAAACAGTTCGAGTTAGCAGGGAATTCGAGTTATCGTGGTAAATTTCAGGAAAATTTTGATCAAAGGAAAGAAAATTTGGTTCGAGTTAGCGGGGAATTCGAGTTATCGAGGTTCTAATGTAATAAACAATGTTGTTTTCTTCTTTTCTGTGACCAATGAGGAGACACCTTACGAACAGCTGCTACAGTGCTGTTCACTCAGTTTGGTGGCATCTCTAGCTGTTTGAATTTTGATGAAATTTCGTGACACAGTTCCTTAAAGGTTTTATTTCTTAGCTGTCTTTCCTCCTTACCCTCACTTGAAGATCGTATTTAGTGATTGCACCGTCCTCGTCTTGAATTCTAACGAATACGTCAATCCGATAGCCTCTGCTCTCTAGGCCAACAGAAAGAGTTAACCAAGGTGACGTGTATGGCGCATCCGGGGAGAGTACAGCCTCCGCAGGAACTGGAATTTCTGGACTATCGGCGTCCGATTGAGTTGACACCTTGTATTTCAACTTAGTGTCATCCTTCCAATCCTTACACGTGATTTGAAAGTCGTCTTGAAACGCAAACCCCAGGTCGGGTGTATCGGCATGTTTTGAAGTGATATTGCAGACCCCTTCTTTTGGCGGCACATTCACCTCCCTGGTGTATTCTGAAAACCCACGGGTTTGGGTTCCTTGGGCCCATGCCTCAAGTCGGAACGTGTAAGTCTTGCCTCCCTCCAGACTATTTGCTTTTACCACAAGTGTTCTTCCTGTTTTGGGGGTGCTCAGAATGCTTTCGACGTTTTCAACTTCTTGAAAAGGACCAGAGGGCGAATCTCCCTTCAATATCTTCCACTCGTAATTGGTATTTTGACACGTACAAGTTTCGCAAGTGGCACAGCCTGACAAAGTCATTTTGTTAGAAGGTCCGATTCTTTTGTTGCAGTTTGTTACGCACCTGAAGTTAAAGGAAAGAACATTATATTAATTCTAATGCCATTTTCCTAAACCACACTCTTTAACAAATGGTAAGCGTAATTCCCTTGTTTTGCACTGCGAATCACCTACTACAGTCGTACCTGTATATAACGGCCACCCTCGGGACTTGAGGAACTGGCCGCTTAATACGGGTGGCCACTTAATATAGGATCACTAAAAATACTCACTGAGCGTGGTCTAATGTGAATCTTAATGGCGTATGATACAAAAATACTATGTCACTATATGCAAGGAAACAATAACACAATCACCACTCTTTCAAGTGATCAATACTTTAAACAAAGTTCAGTGCCAACTTGTAACTTAACGGTATAATATACGTAACATTGTGTAAAAGTACTGTGCAATAAGTTGTCATCTACTCTTCTACTGCGTTATACAGTACCGTATTTCTATGACTTACAGTTCACAACAAAACATCTCATTTTGTCATAAAATACCGCAGAAAATACCATATGGCTCAGTCTCCGTTCAAGGGTGGCCGCTTAACACAGGGTCGTTATATAAAGGTTCGACTATATTTCGCACTGACATATATAACGACATGGAGAGTGGTGATGATTTTTGCACCGGTCGCCTGAAGAGAGGTAATGACTTCAGCCAGGAGCCCATAATCCGGAGTGAGCAACTCCCATACTTGGCCTATGTCACGGCTTTTTAACGGACCAGTTTATTTTTAGACACATTTCAGGGCACTTTTTCTCGCGAAAATATTCTCCACCATGTCTATGAGCGCATTCGAAGTATAAGATATCAAAAAGGCAAACTAAACGTTATTAAAAGGCAGAAAATATCACTTTTAGGTCTGTAGGCTTTGCTGACTGGTTTATGAAATTTATAACATAGTCAAAATTCGCGCCAAACAGTTCTAAAAAGAATCTGCTCCGTAAAAACGCCGTGACACGAGTCCGTGGATGTTGCTCGCTATGGGCTCCTGCTTCAACACAGAATCGACTAACAACAGCAATATTCTCGTGACATAACCCTTTAAAGCTCTCTATTTGTCAATTTAGAAACGAACAGGAAACGTTTGCAAAGACTTCTGGGACTGTTACAAGGGACAGGGGAAAAATTGTCCAATAGCTGACCAGCACGTCCTCAGTAACGATCCCAGAGGTCTTTGTGACACTTTACTCAGTCCAGTTTCCCTCTCGTTTCTAAAGTGGCGAATAGGGGAGAGGGAATTTCACTCACGTGATATGAACAATTGGTGGATCTCCTTCCACCAATAAAATGCTAGTACAGGCAACACTTCTGCGAGTGTCTTTCATGGCCAACACACAAACATCGTACGTGCTGTTCAGCCTCATCCTGAGTGTATTAAAAGAGATCTGTGGTGTGGAGGCGTTCAGTCTTCCAGGCGAATAACCAAAACATCCATCCTCATCTACCACCGTAGAGTTAGACTGAGTTTCGTTGTTCGAACTGTTGTTAGCAGTGTCATGTGGAATCGGAGATAGAGGAAACGCGGGAAGCACGGTACAGTTTTTAACCAGTTCACGGTCGTAACTTCCTTGTTTAGCACAGAACCAGCAATACTGGAAATCACTAGGCGAGTTTTCGTTTTCTGGAACGTCCGGGTCTTTTGTATTAGAGGCATCTATGGTGGCTTCTTTTCCTTCACCAATTGCCCTAGTTGATCCCCCAGCGATGGCGGCTTCGATGTCCGAGGGAATAACATTGATGTATCCCTCGGAAGTCCCTTCGACCCCCTTTACATCGGCCATTGCACACGTGAACTCCAATTTGTATTCATCGATAGAAAATTCCATAGGGTTAATTTCCATAGTTAACTTTTTGGATGTTGATAAGGCATTCCCTATTAAAGGGAACGTTTGAAAGCTGGCGCTGTCGACGTCCCGCTTCTTCACAATCCACGTGAAATTGGTTTTGTCAGAAGCTTCACAATTCACTACTACGGTATTCTTGATTTTTATGGACTTCCATCTATAGTAGCGAACTGCATTTTCGCGACTACTTCCCACAGCGTCTGAGTCGATCGTAACGACGGGATAATCGCAGGGCTTATCTAAGGTCACAGCTTTACCTGATGCGTTGACTTTGCTCACCTTGTTGCATCCCGTGATCAAAAGCGGGTAATTATCGACCGCAGAGTACGTATGGTCAAAAGAAAAGTTTTTTCCTGTAAAGGTCCGGTCTTCCTGCACGCCTTTGCTGCATTCTTCCTCGCAGGTAATTGCATCATCAGTCTTGTAGTTGAAGACCTTGCTATCGCCAATTTCCACTAGAAAACACGATTCTGTTCCCACTTGTTTAATTCCAACGGTAAAATTAATACGAAGGCCCAGCTTTTGAGGCCCGTCATTTGTGAAATTTATTGTCTTGACCATACACTGTGAGCGGACCGTAAGCTGAAGGATGTCTTTACTCACGACGTTCCATGCTGTAATGTTGATTGTGTATAAATTCGGAATTTCAAACGTGTAATTTATAAAAGGACTAGTAGTGGTAACTTCATATCCATTACTGAAATCCCAATAATACGTTACATTAGTTCCAGTTGCCATTGTAGTATTGAAAAGGACGGGGAAATCGCATGGGAAATAGGTTTTGTCATGGCCAAATCCTGGTTTTCCAATGTTCGCTTCTGGTCCTGTGTTCAAAGAAACCGCTGAGAAGTTAGTGATGGGCGTCTGGACTTCGACTTCTATTTCCATGAAGGCTAGGTGAATTTCATTATTAACAGTAATGTTCATGGTATACGCGCCGTGCGTTCCATAGGAGTGTTGGAGTATAAGTGGTGCTAGGAAAGAAACGTTTGCAACCGACGTTCCGTCACCGTAGTTAACCGTGTAGCTTGAATTTGTGGGATGTACTTGACCCGGGACAACAGCAATCGTAAAGGTGATTGTGCCTGGAGGAATGTTCTGCGGGCTATTTGTTGTCAGAGTCAAATAATGTGGGTTTTGTATGTAACTAAGTATGAAACGGGTAAAGTTGCTGACACTGTTGTTGCCGAAGAGAGTAACTCTGTATATCCCTTCGTACATATAGACGTGTTGAATAGTGACCCCATCAATAGAGAAATTTCCTTGGTAGTGATGATTTATAACATCGGAACCATCTCCAAAATCCCACCAAATACTCACGTTGCTGCCCGCTGCCATTTGGCAGGAGAAATTTGCTGTTTTGTTTACCTCAACGAATTGACTGAATCGGGTCAAAAGTGGCGTGTCTATTGGCACGTCCACCATCACCGTTAAATATATCGTTTGCCGCTGGGTTACGTAATTGATGGCCGTCACCATGAGCTCATAGATGCCTATATCTGGCATCATGTATTCGAATACGACCGCTGTCCCATGTGTTGTACCTATCGTTGTATTAACTTCTAAGTCGAAGGAAGTTCCATCGATAATGTGCGTAAATGTTGCATTGAAGATTGCATCAGTTCCTGTAATAGTGTTCCAGTACACGGAGAAACGCTCTGCAAAAGGCTTTGCTATCGGATCAACTACTTCAAATCCAATTATGGGCTCCTCAACAATAGCTATTGTCTCCGCTGTGGTCTTATTCAATCGATTACTGCAGTTAAGTTGTACGTGGAAGTGACCTACGCTGCTGTAATTGTGGTAGGTGAAATTTCCTAGTTGTTCAAATACAGTTTCGTTCGTGGTGCCATCGCCCCAATCCCACGTGCATGTAAAATCGGTTCCAATACTTATGTTCAACATGCAGGGAGTAAGATCAGTCAGGTTGGTGTGAGAGCAAGTTACGTTGAAGCCAATCAGGGGATCGACCGGTTTATGTACTTGGATTTCTTTCGATGCATTTAGCATACTTATGTTATTGTAAACAGAGCAGCTCACATTGTAAAAATCGAATGGCGAATAAGAATGCTGAGCGGTTAGATCTCGCGTCGTGGTAGCCGAACCGTCTCCAAAGTCGATAAAGATTTCTGGGTTGGTTCCCTGGGTGATTGTGACCTCGACTGTCACGGTCTCATTAACTTCTATGTCTCTGTGCGCATGGTGGACGGTACAAGTTAGACCGGTCACCGGTAACTCCACTATGGCCAGACTCTCTATTGACGCGTTCGAAACACAGTTGGACACGTTTATGGTGATAGCATACTCCCCTGTAGCTGCGTAAGTATGGTTATTTATTGCAGCAAAAAGATAGCCGACATCAAACGAGCCATTCTGATAGGAGGTTCCGTCACCGAAATCAACTGTTATGTTAATGCCGTCTCCTTGCCTAACAAGCCACTGTATAAAAGTTATGTTTCCCAACGCCACCGGGAGTACAGGGCTGTAAAACGCCAAGCCTAATACCCTGTCTTGTACTACAACCGTACAGGTCCTTATCGAAAAAGAGAGAATGTTACTGGCGTGAAGTGATACGGAGTATGTGCCGCTCAAGCGGTACTCGTAGTTTAATAGCTGGTCCTGGTCTGCAAGTTCAGTAAACGAGGTCTCATTGTAGCCCGAACCATAATTTACAACGTAGGTAATGTTGTAGCCAGGATGAGGATGTACTGTCACTATAAATGAATCGTTGGTTGCTACAGCTTCGGGCGTGGTCATTGTGACGTTTGCCACGCTCTCGGTTGCCGTTATGTGCGCCGTTTTTGTGACTGAATTCAACGGTCCGCTTACCGTTGCTTGCTCGTAATAATGACCAATGTCATAAGTGTGAAGAAGCAGCATCTTAGCGGGGGAGCGGCAAACCGCTTCTACAGCAAACTGGAGCTGGCTGATGCTAGATGGAGTAGACTGGGTTGTAATCAAAACGGAACCCAAGTGAAGATTAGCGTCATTGAAATAAAATGCCGTGGAATTGTATTTTTTACTGTCTTCACTTTTTCGAGCGATTATTTCTGTGTGGCCACCGCCCTGGTAAGTGAAACCAATGATGTCTCCTTCTTTGACGTCGGTGCTATTTTTAATGTCATCGAAGGAGAATATATGGCAGCCACCTTTGGAAACGAAAATAAGATGCTCGGAGACCAGCTCGTACTTTTCGTTCAATGTGGCAGTTGGAATGGTATTCGGTGATACATTTTCGTCATTACAAGTACATGAGCCAAACGAAAACACTTCATCATTGTTACAATTAGTGGCCGAGGTATTGCCGCAAGGGGGAGCCTCAGTACAAATGGAATTGATATTGCAGTAGAGGTTGAGAGGTCCGGTTCCGCACACTTTTCGATATATCTGTCAATGAAATGAATGACTAAATGAGTTGGTTGATCTTGCTATTAAAAATCATTGCTACCATTAACTTACTGTCCTGGTGCGCATGAGTGTTTTTGAGAGGATGCCACAGACTTGCACCTGTCTTCACTTATTTATTCTCGCAAAGGATTATGGAAAGGAAAATTGGCATGCGCAAAGGCGCTTGGGAAGGAGGGAGAAAAAGTGTTTCTTCCTTCCTTCTCTGGGTCACCAAGGTTACCGAAAAAAACGCTTGCACCGCTGCAAGCTTATACTCACAAATGGCCAATAAATCAGTCGCGTTATTCGCGGTGACAAAATAGAGCAAATTGTGGGTAATTTAGGTGAACGCAGGTGCATGTTGTGAAAAATATAACGTGCAATGGTTCGAGTTTACTTCATCAACGCGACAGAGTCGACTCCCAGTAATTCGAACCTTCTAGGGAAATTGAAAAAAATTCGAGTTATCGCAAGTTCGAAGCAAATAACCGGAAATAAGAAAATACGCAAATGGATAGATGGGGAGGGAATGCAGGTGTCATGCACACTTCACTTCCAAGAACAGCAAGAGATATAGATTAATATTTTGAAAAAGAAATTAAGAAACGAAGCTTGATTAACATACAGGGATGGACACTGAACTTGAACTGGAATGACAAAAAAGACAAGGAATTGACACGGTTGTTTTGAAATAAATTGAACGTTTCGGACTTCAGAACTCTGTTTTTATTTCGACTTGTCACGCGAATAAATATGGTTCGAGTTATCGAGGGTAAAATTATATAGAAATGACCTGAGGGGAAACAAAAACTACTTCGAGTTAGCGGGAGGTTCGGGTTATCGAGGGTAAACATGATTACAGTAAATGTATGAAGGAGATCCAGGGGAAATCGACTTTGGTTCCAGTTAGCGCGAGGTTCGAGTTAGCGAGGGTTCGAGTTATAGGGAGTCAACTGTACATCGACACACCTAGAAAAATCATTTTTATGGATCGGTAATCACGTTAAATTGTTGCAAGAATGTTAAGTTTTCAATATACTTCGAGCAAGAAGTTTGAGTTTTGCTGGAGGTCGTTTGCAGGAGAGCACTAAACTTTATCATAATCGACCAGAAGAAACATATAATGGAACAAATTTACATTTGGAAACCCATGACTACCGTTTTAATTAGGTAAACATTGATTTACATCATAAGTATGGAATTTCTGTCACTAAAGTGCAGACGGAGCGAGGAGACACGGCTATATTCGCAGGCTAGCATCTCATTGGCCAGTTTGAAATTCCACCCGTTATATTGTGAGTGGCTCTGATTGGGTAATAAATACCTACCTGAAGAGATACGTAGCCGCTAGTCTCTGTACAAATCCTCCAACCTATTAGCTTGCAGTCATCCTCAAACCTGTAACTTGGTAGCAGCACAGTTACGTTGGTGTATTGTACTCCACCACTCCCGAGTGCAGACTGAAAAACCTCTCCAACAGTGTATGTACGAGCATCTAGAAGACGAAGAGCATACACCGTAATTTGACTCAGTGCGCAAAGACGCGCGAGAAATGATAAAGGAACTCTCTGCCTTTTTTGACGTCTTTCCGAAATAGCCAAGCCCGCTCAGGCCTTACTTCAATTCCTTGCTCACATGCGCACATGTAAAAGTTGCTTACATATTGTGTGGCAAATATGGTAAAAGATCTCCTTAAGGAAGGAGGTCAAGATTAGCGGACGTTTTTTTCAAAAACTATTTTTGTCATGTTTGCCACACAAGGTTTGCCCTCTTCTTTGCCCCGCCGTCCTCTTACGTAAGTTCACTATTGCGGGCTTTCACAACACTTACCATCCAGGGGAGATGAAATTGCGCTTCCCTTGGTAAACTGAGCGTCCAACTGCATGTCAGTCCCTTCGTAAACGGATATCGGACACCCGAACTCCTCGTTTGCCTCAACGATCGAGGGACAGTTGAGTTCAAGCAGATTTACAAAAGAGTAAACATTCACCTAAAAGAAAGAAAATGGAAATGATATACACTTTTTACCTCACTAACTTAGGCTTATCACTATCTGATGACACTAATAAAATAAAAACTCCGAATGTTGAAAGGGCGTAACAGTTTTAGTTATCTCTAAAAATTTGAGCCCAATACACCGAATGGTTTCGGAGAAATTCTATTCTAAAAACTCGAAATTTTACTGAGAATGTATCGCTCATTAACTTTTTTGCCACACAGCAATTTCGCAGTTTTTGATGGCTGATATTTCCTTCAATATTGCATGCAAAGAGCTGAAAATTGCACAAATTGCTCAACTTCATCAGCTCTTTAAACTTTTGCATTTAGTTCATATATGTGGCCACGGCTTCAACGAGTTAAGTCGTATGCTAATGAGGAAAAATGTAAACAATGACGTCAACAAAGATTTCTCAGAGACAATGTACCTCAGCGGGGGTTACTTAACAAAGTTTTGTACATTATAATTACCATAATTTTTGACAGAAAAGGTACCCCTTTCATATATATGCTCATTGACAAATGGTACTCCTTTCACATACCTAGTTTAGAACATTGAACCCCTTTTGACTGCTACAAATGCACTGCCTTTAAAATAAGAGTGAATAAAAAAAATGGAAATTTCTCGACTTTTTCATAGCCATAAATTCTTCTATTGGCCCTTTTAGATCTTTTTATAGACGGAAAGACAGATTTCCCTACCCTTTTATATACTTAAACTCGTGAAATAATAATAATAATAGAATAATAATAATAATAATAATAATAATAATAACAACAACAATAATAAATACTTAATTATCCACTCCCCTTATGGGCTTTTCAGAGATAATAAAACAATAATTTAAACGGAACATAATATGTTAAAGAATCCCAACCGGTAGGAGGACAAACCCAGTTGCCTATTCCAAGCATGGCCGAGGATTTGAACTCGGGAATACCAAGTACAAATCCAGCTAGCGTTCAGGGAGGGACTTGAACTCGGGGCCTCCGGATTACAAGTCCAGTGCTTTAACCCTTCGGCCTTGCCGTCTGCACAACCCTTTCATATACCTGAGGCTTGAGACCTGAAAAAGGTACCCCTTACGGGCGGAGCCTCCCCGTATAGGCTACTATAGGAAGTGTCCCTGGGCTTCTTACCGCCAATGATGTGGTACGTAAGTGTGGTTCACCATAATCGCCCAACAGCGCCTGGCCATAAACAACGTGTTTCCCCTCAGAGTGATAGAGATACGATTCAACAGACTTCTCTGTGGTGACTAAGATGCCCTCCCCAAAGTCCAACGTGTACGATGCTCCAGTGTAACTGGAAAACGTAGCATTGAATCTTTCTGACACAGATACGTTTGTGGGCATGGTCAGGCCAAGTTCATAGTCGTACTTTCCTGAAGCATTGTAAACGCTGTAGGCAGATCGTCCACCGCATTGTATTATTGGGTTGCCTGTGCATGGCACATCGCATTGTGGTTCGCCCACCTTATTGACGGCGTCAACTGAGTCACTGCAGAGACACTGATCTCCACGTTTGACAGCAGAGTATGCATAGCCTGCCTTGCCGCAGCATGTGGTACAGATCTCCGGGGTCAGGGAATTCTTGCCGTAGTCTCCACATGCCTTAAATGGACCACTCAAATAACAGCCAACGTAATTTTCCGCTATATTGAAAAAAAAAAAAAGATAAACCTAAATAAGATATGTTGGAGCTCCGCTTGAGACTGGTTCAATGTCGTGTCGAATTGCACTATGGGGCTATTTTGGGGAGCCAATTTGGACCCAGCCTCCTGTGCGACTTCCTTGTAACCAATGAAAGAGCTAATAGCGTCCTCGGAACAGTCCCACAATGCCATTCAAGACGACATTGACCCAGTCTTCCAAATGACCAGTTGAATTGCAAAACTATTTGCAAAATAGAACACAAACATTTCAAAAATAGCCCCGAAAACCATTTCTGGATTACCTTTTTTCGAAACCACTGGTTTACTGTGGAATAGGCCTAATCACATGTCAAAATTCTCCAATCTATCAGCTGTCCTGATTTCAGAATTTATAGGACACTATAAGAGGACAGTACGCGTCATACCCATAGGACAGTGGGTGCTACTTTTAGCAACAAAAACTGTCGGAATATCTTGTGTTTTAATTGGACTCCACTTAGTCCTGTTACCATTACTTAGTTGCCCAAGCGTGCAGTGGAGGACGAGTTAAGCACCAAGAACGTGAGCCGCGCGTGAAATATGTTATAGTTACGTCTCGGCCTCTCAACTGACAAAATCGATTCAGCAGCACAAAGTAGCTGAATTTGAGTCCGCTGTGATTCAAAGTCTGAAGTCGTTTAATCGAACGTTAAATCATATTAAAAAGTCTTTGACCATTTCGTTTACTGCAAGAATATGGGACATTAAGACGAAAGCTTGGTTAACCCTTTAGCTCCCAAGAGTGACAACATCAATTTTCTCCTAACAACATCAGCAGATCATCAAGAGTAAAGGTTATGAGAATTACTAAATTGATTACCAAAGGGAGAATGCTTTGATCTTAAACCAAATTCTCTCAACTATTCTTAAAAGAAATGTATGGAGATCAGTCTGGAGAATTTGTATGTGGATCTTGGGGCTTAAAGGGTTAATAGACTCACGCGTTGTTTTGCCATACAGCTCCATTCTGAGAACAGGTTCGTGATTCCATGACTTGATGTGAAGTCGGACTTTCCGCGCCACGAATGGATTGGTAAAGGTCTTTTGAACCACAGAGCTTGCATCAGTATTTCCCGTAAAAAGCTGTGAAAAATTGACATTAAAATGTAAAAAGGAAGCTCTCTTCTGCTACAGAAAAAAATTCATTCATTTCGGAAGTGATTCTGACGCTATTCAAAGACTTTTCTCAATTCATCTTTAATTGAGGTACTCTCTCTTCTGAGAGCATGGGGATCATTGGGTAGCGGTTGTTACAAGATGCGTGAATACTGACTTCTGATTGGATAAAATTACACGGAAGTGACGCTATACACGTGAATTACGTCACTAATTGCAAAACAAGTTTGCCTTTAAGCCGGTAAAACGCACAACACGAACAGCTTTTGTTGTAACAACATTTCGCAACCTTCAACAACCTCGTTTGTCAGGTTGCAAGACAGGTTTTCTTCGCGGCTGGTAAAACGCCCAACATCGCTATTCAACTCGTTTTGCAGCAATGGTGCAAAATAAGTTGAACGTTTCTGCTGCTCGTGTTACCGTACCTTGAGGCGGTCGCTCATGAAAGGTTCCACTGTTGTCGCATTCGTGTTGCCTTACCTTAACTGCGTTGTTTTCTAAATACGCCTCCCATAAAGCACTCTTACTATGAGACACGGTGTATGTCATGACGTAAGAACTGCTGCGACCTTGGGTAGCCACTTTAGTGATTGTCTTAACTTGGTTCACGTCCACCTCCACCCACTGATCACCAGTTGTGGATTGCGGTTTCCAAGCTTCAATAGACCAAGATGTATCTAAAGAAAAAAGAGTTTTATTTAGCCTGGGGGGGAGGGGGGAGGGGTACTTGGGCTAATTTTTACTGGGTATGTGCCGCTGGCCCCTCAGAGCCCCTATCCCATTATAGTCTACTCTGTGGCCAATTATTGACCCCATCTTAGTCACTTTTTGCACAAATATGTAATTTCGCGAATCTAACTTAGTCACTTCCTATTTTTATGAATTGACCCATTTTTTACATTGAACGAACAACACTTCACTTTTCATCTGCGGTACAAACATTCTGGTACGTTTGCTAACAGTAAATATGAAGAACTGTCTTACCCCCCCAAAATCCGAAAATGTGCGACTCCATTCTAGTAACTCTATTGAAAATGCGACCCCAGTATAGTCAATCCAGTCGTGAAAGTGAGACCCCATCCAGCGACACATCCACATTAGCCTCTTTTAAGGAAGTACCCCCCCGGGCTATTTAGCAGTAATGATTCTATCTTATTAGTCCTAAACAATGGATAAGTAAGGCTGAATTCGCCGCACGTAGGTCCTCTGGCAAATCTCTCGTCCTCGATGTGAAATACCGCTGTACAAACCTGATGCGAGCCTCCAAGTCAGCCTTCCTTTATCACCTATAAAACCAGGTGTATAGGAGGATGCTGTCATTAATGCTGACGAGCCCCATCCAACGCCAAGTTTAGCTGCAAATTTTTAAGCATAAAAGGAAAATCAGTAAGAGTTGGTGGTAGGAGAGAGTAATTACTGTTTTATGAAATACTCTGTCAGGACGCTAAAAGAAGGTACATTTTCCTTGTTTCGTGAAGCTAGTTTTTATAGTCCGTAAGTAACAACAGCTGTTCCTCTCGATGCAGTCAATTACCCAAATTTAAATGATTTTGGACGTCACTTCAAAGCCTCTAGGGTTCATTTTACTGGAAACCCCGTTTATGATAGTCTTATCTCTTTTTAACCGTTACTCGGTGTACTTGTACATGAAAACTGTCTTTGACATACGACGGGTAGGAAGGGAGTGGACTGAAAATTGAAATCGTCTTAAACCGGCAGTTTCAAGCTGGACTTGGATTAAAAAAAAAACGCTCCAAAACCATAAAGTGGGGTTTGCTACATTAGTGATTCATTTTGTTGATCAGAGGACATTTTTTACATCGCCGAGTGTTCTTTCCCAACTCTTGATTAATTTACACCGAACCTTTTGGGAATTAAAGTGTCACTACCCGTTTCAGTCTCTTATGCAACTGTCGTGACTGTCAAGTGTGATTTCTTTGGGAAGTAACTTTGTCACGTTTGCACTACAAACGAGACATCTGTAATACTTACAATAATTGCTTTGTCCGTCCCTATGGAAGCAAGTGCTGTCCAAGTAACAGAAACCAGTAGCCACACAGTCCCCCTCTGTTATGCCCGCCCAACCGGTGCTTATGCGATCGTTAACTTCAATAAAGGGGCAGTCTGAATAAGCTGTCGATAGATGATAAAAAACTCAGCCGTTTAAACGTTAACAGTGATAATGGGCTCTAGTAACTCCTAGTCGGTTTCCAATCCTACGAGTGATTAAAAACGAGTGTGGTGTAGACACAACTGAAAGACATGCTGCCCGGTTATCAGTTAGTCTTACTAGCAACGAATTTTTGACGTAGTGGTCCCATGCGGAGCGCTTCTGCGCAGGTACTGAACAGAAGGTTGCGCACATATTAGGGCCAAGCAAGAATCGTTCTGGGAATCCTATTCGGGCTCTAATTGTAAACAAAACTTAAGGAAATATCCAACTAACTTCACAACCACAGTACAAGGAAGTGGAGAATGCATACTTGTAACAAGTAAGAACTGTGGCTAATTGAACCCCTTAAATTAACTCTCAACATTTCTGCTTAGGTTTATAAGAACCGGATGTTTAAAGCTTTGCTAGAGACAAAGGAATGTCAAATTAACCCAGACACAAAGAAGAGAATTCACTGTCGTCAGCCCGTATATCAAAGTTAGTTTCCATTAATCGTCAAAATGAAGCTTACGCTGACAGGTATCTGATGAGTATCGCGGGCTCAGGTACACTTCTCATCGAAAACAAGTATTTTTTATAAAGTTATGTTTTGCCTATAAGTTGAGAAGTTTCATTGAATCGCGGACTCAAAACAACATTCAAAGGCTGACGTTCCTTTTACTTAGTTCCTTGTTTGTCAGTGCGAAATAAAATTCGATTAAAATGATCGAAAGTTTATTGTTTCCTGTAAAATGTTTGAATTTAAAAAGGGCTCCGCTTTCAGGCTTTGCTAAATCTTTTTACCACAAGCAGTAATGAACTCACAAGGTAACATCCCAACGCAGTGGAACCTTTTTCGCATCTCTGTATAACCTAAGGCTATTTTGCTGTAAATAACAAGTAGGCTCATTTTAAAGTGGGACGATCCTCCTGTTGGTCGCCGTCCGATCAGAAGATTGTGGTGCGTTTCAACTGTTCTGTCCGTTGCAAGAACTGTTCCCCAAAACGCGTCTGCTCCATTGACAACCATCCAAGGATTGGTACTAGGATTTTCTCTCCAGGCAATAAAGATATGGTACCACTTCTCAGGAGTTATTACAAGAGATATGCTGCCATATTTGGTGGTCGAATAGATATTAGCAGTCAGTTTTGAGGTGGATGTTACGTAGAAAATTGCCAGTCCTCGATCAGCATTGTTTTCAGCTGAGTACAGAATATCGCTGTCTGCACCACTCTTTGCCCAGAACCAGAACCCAATAGTGATGCCATAAGGGCACAGCGCGAAGTCGCTGATGCAGTTTCCAAAGTATCCAAAGTCAATTGTCTGATCACTGGTAGTTTTTATCTCTGCGACCCCTGTAGTAAGGCCTTTGTATCCTATGCCACCATATATCGCCCCTTTCTCACCCTTTCCGTGCTTTGAACCAATCAAATCATAAAATGTTCCACCTACGTATCGGTCCAGCGGCATTAAATGATCAGCATCTTTGTAGCATTGGGCTGTGAAAAAGTTAATGAACGACTGTAAGCCTTTAAGCCAACAATTAAGCACGCGCGCTCCTATTAAAAAAGTAGAGACACGTTTCCACCCAGGGCATTATCTTATGCTACTCCAACTGGCAGACGTTTTCGTAGGTGTATTTTTTTATTTTTTCCAATATACCATTTCCAAACGCTTAATTTTCAGATTTAAAGGTGTTCCTTCCCCTCGCATGTTAAATCGCAGATTTAATTTACCCTTCAACGGCTTCTACAAAACAAGTTCCTGCGCGGTCTTGATTTAATTGATGTAATATTGGGTCGCGAAAAAAAGACTCTCGTCTAAACTTTTGCTTTAAAAAAGTTGCAATGGATTCCCTTTAAGGACAGAATACAATTAATTTTCAAGTTACTGTTGATCACGTACAAATCTCTTAATGGCCTTGCCGCGGTGTATACTAACGACCCGTTAGATCATGACACTCCCTGTCGTTCTCTTCGTTCTAGTGATTCCAACCTCCTAGTTATCCCAAAGACTATTGCAGTTACTTACGGTGATAGATCTTTTGCGGCAATAGCTACGAAGTTATGGAATCATCCAGCGCTTTCCATTAGACAAAGCAACTTCATTTGTTGTTAGTTTTAAAAGGGCTTTGAAAACGTGTCTGTTTCGTGAGAGCTCTTTCTTTCAGTTGTAAAAAGCATCGAGACATTTATATGTAGAATGCGTTTTTAAGAACTTTAATTATTATTATTATTATTATTATTATTATTATTAAAACAGGGTACGGACTTTGTATCAAACAGAATCAGGGTCTAAAGACCTTGCGGCACATTCCCACCAACCTCCCATTCACACCCCCACCCCGGGTTACTAGTGGCGCCCTGTGATGTGTGCAGGAAGCAAGTCATGTCGCTGGGAAGAAGAAATTCGTGAACAAGAATTTCACTTACATGCCGTCAATTAAAATACTTAAAACTTAACCCGTCAATCTAAATCTACACTAGGCATCCCAGCAAAGGCAAACATGAAAAATCCAACTCACTCTCTTTTTGTCTGTTGAACATTGTGATCGTTGTAGATTGTGTATCATCTGCAGTAAAGGACACGTAACTAAGGGAAAAAGGTGACTGGTCATTCCACTGCAACAGAACGTCGCCCCCAGATCCCAGCACCAGGTTGCTCGACCGGAAGTCTATCCAAAAAGGGCGAGATTGGTTTGCTACTAAAGCATTTGGAGTACTTTGTGAATGTTGCAAAGTTTCGCTTCCGCCTCCCGTAGAACGATATATTCCTGAAACGCCACTATTGTAGAAGATTTTAAATCGATATCCCGCTGAGGTGGCCTGTGGCTTTTCATGAAGAATTACAGAAACACTTTGTTTAGCCTGTATTAGTACCGAGATGGATTTTCCGGACAGAGGGTGTAGTTCTGTTGTTTTTGCCGCTGGTAGAACAACAAAGCCACTCAGCTGATCTGAATAGAATAAGATAAAAGGAGTTAACGGGGATCAAAATGCCAAAAAGAACGTCTATTGAACAATACACCACACTCTTCCATTGTCTACACTGTAACAAAGGCTTTTCTCTCTGCTAGAGTTTTATTTGATAAAGCAGGTCATAAACTGAAGGGCAGCTTCAGAGCTTATATTGACCTGCTAAGGCAATACTTAACAATTATCCCTCGCTGAGCCCTTCGGCCTCATGGGCTATTGACTCAGAGGCCATGAGGGCGAGAGGAATAATTGTTTTAGTAAAATCCAACTAGTTGGTCAAAAATATCAAGAATAAAAAATTTTTAGCTAGTTAAAGCTAGACTTTAATCCTTTTTTGCCGTCAAAAAGGGCGCGCTTTTCGCTACTAGTAGGCTATAACATATAGCCTAGTAGTAGCTCAACCAATCAGAACGCAGCATTGATAATAGACCACTAGCTGGATTTTACTAAATACATATAGACACACGCATGAAAGATAGGCCACAACACCGGGGTCTCCGGCGTCCACATTCCCCCTAGACAGGTTTGATACTCTTCCTAAGTCACAATTAAAATACATACCATCCTTTCCCAGGTTCCTCGATTTCAGTTCGCGGTTTTTTCCCGCCTGTTCGTACTTACTAAAAGCCTGGAACAGGCTAAAAGATACACATTTATCGTTCAAACAACAAACAAACCTGTAATACAGTTGTTGTGATAAAACTGGATTTCTTTGAAGCCGTTGTTAAGGGTGGTGTAAACGCTCTCCACTTCAACTTTTACTGAATCGGTCAATACGTCAGCAAAGCTCCTTTCGTCCCAGACCGCATCGGCCAAATGATCAACACCTTGATTTTGGGTCAGTTCCACCTAGGGGGAAATCAGATCGATTTGTTGACTTCTTCCCTTTTAAACGCTAAGCCTTAAGATTTGTTTCTTGGTGTTGCGGAAACCATTGTTGGTTCGCTTTGTTTTGTGGTGTGGGTATTGTTAAAAGTCTTTTTAATCTTTTGTATGACCATGTCATTTGTAGTCTTCACAAGGACTCTAAAAACGGCTGTGTAGCAGACCGCGTCATTTGGTGATTGCACCCGACCGTGACGCCAAGAAACTAGGGAGCTTAAGCAATAACGTTTTTGAGCGACGCACGTCAACCGGAAGTGGCCTTTTTTCATTTTTTGACGGTGGTTTCGCGCAAATTTTCAGTCAAATCGCCTCTATAAAAGTAAAGAAGCTAAGGAATACAAATTTTATATCATCAAGGCATGTTAAGAGGGAAAATACCTCACTTCCGGTTGACGTGCGTCGCTCAAAAACGTCGCTGCTTAAGCTCCCTAGAATAGAGAGCTTTAGAATTTAAGACGAGGACGACAACGAGAACGAGATCTTCTCAATACTTAAATAAGTGGTGCACGCGCGCAAAACAGCTTCATTTTGGCGGGAAAACGTGGTAGCCGTCGTCAGTCTACTACGAGTTTTAGCGGAGAATGTCGTAGTGGCGAAAACAAGTTATCAAATGTTAGAAATATCATCATTTAGCGATCGGGAGAGGGCTTAACCTCCTTCAATGGAAACAAGCGAGCTAACTTTGGTGGTAAAAAACAGTACAATGAAGTTTTTTATTTTAGAGAATAGGCGAGAAACTTAAAATTAGATGTCGTTCTCGTAATCGAATCTAAAGGGAGCTTCAGCAACGACGACGGCGACGCTACGAAACCGTCACTTAAAAGTGAATTCGCGCTGCTTCAAACTTCAGCGCGCTTTTTCCACCTCGTTCAGTTCGTTAAATGTTGGCAATATTTTCTGGATTTGAATTCTAAAAGACCTCACGTCGTTTGGTCTAGTACGACGACTAGGAATATCAATAAATTAAAGCACGTTCAAAACTTCGCAGCTAGGATCATAACCCGTTTGTGTAAAACGTGATCACATCACTCCTGTTCTTAGCTGTTCTTAGAGAACTAATTAAATGACTACCTGTTGCATCCATGTTTGTCTACAAAGATGGCATACTGGCTTTCAAGTATTTAAGGGGATTGGCTCCAGACTATCTGGCTATAAAAATTTAAAACGCGGTCCGAAATTCACATCTCTGACACGGGCAACAAGAATAAGATTGACATTCCAGGGGACAGAACTGCAGCAGACCAAAGGTCCTTTCATTATCAGGCCGTTTCACTGCGGAACGCCCTACCCGAAAGGCTCACTAAAATAACAAACATTGCGGCATTCAAGAAGGAACTTATGCGTTATTTAAAGTCGTCTCAGTAAGCAGTCTGTTCTTAAGACAGGGTTGCTTATATGACTTTTCTTCTTTGTAACGGAGATAATTTTCTTGTTAAAATCTTGGGAATATATAGTAAGTTTTATAGTTTTGTCTTTTAATGTTTTATACTTTTCTAATATTTTTATTCATAATGTTGATGGAATTACTTTGAAAAGCCATCCGTGGAAAGTAATAAAGTTATTATTATTATTACTATTATTATTATTTCTGTATCAAAGTTCAGGGAAAAAAGAGTAAAGTCGTCTTTTTTGTTCACGTCCTCCACAACACTAGCCTCCCACGCAGGTGTTTTTAGGGGAGCTCGTTTTTCATCCCTAAAAACGCCTGCGTGGGAGGCTACCACAACACGCGAAATATGGTATTTTCACGTCGTAGTCGTGCAGTGACGGCAGAGAAATTTACAAAAAAGTGTGATGCACTTGCAAAGTTGTTGTTTTGCTAATCTAAACCTATTGTTTTTTTGCCGTTCTCGTTGACGTCGCCGTCGTCGTTGCTTAAGTTCCCTTAAAGCTCTCTAATTACACCATCGTTACGTCATTTCCATATCTATAGGTTCAACCAATGAACGCAAAGAAGCCTCGACCAATGAACGCCAAGAAATAACTCAGTTATTCTTAAAAACATGAAGACAACGCAGATCACCAAAAAAAACGGAAACTGTTAAGATTTTTTATATTTACTATATTTTCGCCTTATTTCGATGATTTATGGGTGTGGAAGCAGCAACTTAATTTTGGGCGTACTTGTTACTGACTAATGAAGAGCCTTGGTATTTCCAATATATCTTTTCTTTAAACGGTAACAGGGAAGTTAAATTAAATGTATGTATACACACCGCTGCTTTAATTATGTACAGTCAGCTCTCTCTAAGATGAACACCTCTGGTAAAAGCACTAAGTGAACAACTTAGGAAGATCCCGGTCTTATAGAGAGCCAAATAAATGGAGGACGCAGAGGCAAGGGCCAACTGTAGATGTTCCTTTTACAGAGGTGTCTGTAAGGAGAGAGTCGACTTTACTTCAACGATATAGTCCTAAAACAGTATACACTATACTTGGAACCAGTGTGTGTCAGAAACCCTTATGTTGTGGGCTCCTGCGAGTGTAACATATTTTTTCTGCTTTATAAAAAGGCGGACTTCGTTTGTCTATTTCCATCCTGGCTTTAATGTCATCTTTCCTGTTTTATGTTGTAATCGGGGTTCATAACATCACTACAACTGTCAGAAAATATTCTGTGTTACTTACATATTCGTCAGACCCTTCCATAAAGGTAAGTTTAAGTCCTTTGTTTTGTGCACCTGCGTAGGGTCTCTGCTTTACACGTATGGTGTTGATAACGAACTTTCGAGTGAAGTTAATCTGAACCCACAAGCCCACTCCGCCATTCCCATGCCACCATTCGTGACTGTCTGAACCGTCTTCTGCATTACCATCTATTACGCGGCTGCAGAAGTTATAGTTCGATGATGCACCGACACATTGTCCGCCAAAGGAAGCCAGTGCAACATTAATATAAGCACAACGGAGGTGGTCTAGAGAGACATTTTAGAAGATAGTTTAATCCGGAAGTACGGGAATCCAGGACAGTGTTGGATTCTGGATTCCCCGCCGTGGATTCCGGATTCCAGGTGCTGGATTCCAAATTCTTTTACAGTGGAACTTGGATTCTGGATTCAAATCGTTACTGGGATTCCGGATTCCTTAAAATGTATTCCGGAGTCCAAAGCCCAATATTCCGGACCCGCAAGCAAAAATTTCTCGGATTCCGGATTCCACAGCCAAGAATTTCTCGGATTCCCGATTCCACAAGTAAGAATTTCTCGGATTCCAGATTCCACAAGTAAGAATTTCCCGGATTCCAGATTCCACAAACAAAAATTTCTCGGATTCCAGATTCTAGTTTCTGAGGGAGAGAAGCGACGACTGGAAATATGTCTGCGGTTCGCAAGCTATTATTACCCCTCTATAACCGTTTAGAATTAATAAAAATAATCCTTTCTATGATGAGCATAATGCGATCATTATAGTGACTTCCTTAGGAGCAACCGAGCATTTTCAGAGTGGGCACTGGAGTAGTACAGTGGAGTATTTTGGTAGGGAAACAAAAGCATTATTACAAAAGCTCACCCGTGCTTCTCCCAAGATGACCCCTTAAAACAACAATGGCACCCAAGGCATAGATAGTATAGCAGCTCCCTTGGCATTGTTAGTAGAAGGACCCTCTACTAACTATCTCTTAGGGAACGAGATATCGAATTCAACGGCTGAAGTGACGTCAAAGACCTGTGTCACATTGATGCGCATTTACGGGTTTGATTAACACCGGAAGGTTTAAACCAATAGAAAATCTTATAACTCAGTACCTGTACCGCCAGCTTGCAGCCCGCGAGAAAGGGTTTCGCTTGGGACTTTTTAATTAACTTTTGTTTTTATTGCGACCTTCGTATTTATGTTTAAAACCAATATATTTTTCCTGTGGTTCTTCTTATTATATAGACTGCTTGCTCAAAGAGCGCGCGATATGCGATCGTACTCACATATTGCGCGCTCCCAACGATTTTTGAACAAGAGAGTGTCTGCTCGCAGTCTATTAATTATGCTGTGCAAGGGGTTTTTAAGTGTTATTCTGTATAAAATGTGCAAATCCGTTAAAGGCCTGCTAAGATTATAACCGGCTTTTGATTCTGAAAGCGCTCAATTTGAACATGAAACAAAAGGTATATGAAGCAATTTTTTCTCCATGTAATGGCACTGTTTACTTCTGATTTTAGCAAGATGTATCAAACAACTTGGATCGCTGGATAAAATATCAGTGTGAACTTCTTGAAAAAAGCAGCGCATATTAAAAAAAACATGCATGAAGACAAGCAAAAACGGTCATAACGACCTTTCTTTAGTTTCCTGCAAAGCATTGTTCAAGACATACAAGGCTCTGAATTGGCTAATAAAACTATTTTCAACGGTCGATTATTAAAAAAATTGTCACGGTACTTAAAATATCTACAGAATAAAAGAAAGAAAAAAATTAAGGAAAACGTCCTCGAATGGGTGAGAGTGAAGTTAATTTTCTGTGGTAAGTATAATCAGCCGTCTATAAATCAATAAATCATCTCTGAATAACGTCAAAGGAATCACAAAAGGTTTGCATGGTGCTTATGATAAACAAAGAGTCTTCATTAAAAAAAGAGGTTTGATATCTTGCTTAATAATTGGATATTCAAGAGGAACGAAGAAAGTTATAGCACGTATTTTCTGGGCTCAGAAACCGTTTATCGTAAGAGGAATCTAATTTTAGTAAGCGAATTGCGAAGTGAATGGAATTCAAGTTAGCTTGCGTATTTAGGTAGCAGCAGCATATCGTTCGCTGCTACTCTAGACATTTTTCATAATTAATAACTTTACGATTTGCTTAAAGTTCAATAGCCGAGTTGTAACAATTAATCTCAAAATAGTACCGGTAGGCGAAAATAAACTTATAAATAAAAAACTAAACTTAATTTTGAGATTTTTGGTTAAAAAACCGTGGAAAAAAGCAATTTGGTTATTGCTAATATATTTAGTATATGGCAATGGGAAGATTCAAGTTATCCTTTACAACTGAGGAGAGCGAGATACCTAGTCTTGTCTGCCATGCACCAAGTAATACTGAAAATTTTAGAAGTCCGCATGAAGAAGTCGCTGACACATGGCTGTATACTGTTTACTTAAAGAAGCGTTTTATCACAAAGCTCCTAAATATGTTTCGTTTGAAACGAACAGGAAAAATTAATGGGTCGCAAGTTCTCAAAGAGTTCAAATTGGCCAATTAAGTAATTTTAACTCATAAGTTTATACAACATAAAAGGTACTAGCATGGAGTTAATTAAGTTTCATTCCAATGATGTTGACAGACGCAGCGACACAGTAACAGAGATTAACTAGACAAGAAATGACTTCTGTCTCCGATAACAAAAAATTACTGGAGCTTCTAGATAGATTTCGTAATACATCTAATACCTGGTATAACATAGTCTTGGCCCATACAGCTAGAAGCAGACGTATATGAAACCTGAGGGAAAAATTAGATCTATCAGTTTCCTTTCTATTTATGAGACCAAACCAAGTTGTACCGAATAAAATGTACTTTTAGGTGATAAAAAAGTCAAACTTACCGAGAAAAAGAAGAATATAAGAACTGCACGCTCAAAACAAACAGCCCGGTTTCTCATCATACAGAATTTTCCGCTCCCTATCTCATACTCTGCGACTGATTTTTTTCTCTTAACTTTAGAAGTAATCGATTCAGCTGTCGTTGGAATCACAAATTGCACCACCAATCTATTTCGCACACTAGGTTCTCAAAATGAATCTATAGATGATAATCTCTGTCAAACGTTTGACAACCGAACCAGTTTCGATTAGACTATATTCTGCTGGCAAACACTGTGAATTACACTGCAAGGGGAATTGATTATTTGTGCTCAAGTGAAGATAGTTTAACGTCTTAGTAGGGAGTCTTTCAAAACGCTTAAATCACCTGCCAACTCAATCTAATTCCAGGGAATTTGCTAGCATCTAATTATGTTAATCTCGTAATGGTAGTTAATTCTTTTTCTCATCAAAACAATTGAAGCACAGAAAGGGATAATGTAGGTGATTTAGGCAACGTTATGGCAACTCTCCTTCGTTGTTCTGTGTTTATGGGAGCCATTTTATTGTTTCGTCGCCCCGTAGCGGCAAAGACAATGCATCTTCTATCTTAGACCGTCTGGTACCTCACACTCTGTACATCAAAAATGTTTTTTATTCTACAAAAAATGACCCAAAGCTAGAGAAAAACCTAGTTAATTAATCTCGTGACCATTAATCGAACGGTATTAAAAAACACAACCTGAGAGGGGAAATACAACATTTTTTTTGCCCGAAAAAAGCCCAAGTTACATTCTTGTTTAAGAAAAGGAAAAGAAAGAAATTGGATGATATTAGGGAAAATCCTTGGCACACGCAACCGACTGTTTAACCAAAGCTTTGCACGAAGAGTCATCAAAATTTGGCGTTCTTTACATCTGCACAAAGTGCAGAATTTTTTCTTACGTTGAACTTTTTAAAATACCCCTATCGTCCACTTGCGGATATCACAAGAGAAATTAAATTGAAGAGAAATTAAAATACACGTATCCTGCCGGATCCAAGTGTAATCTCCCATTTATTAAATTCTGGGGTCCGAAACTTTGTTTATGTTCAAATGGTTGGTATTCATTAATCAGTATTTATTCACTGGTTAAAATCCCAGAGAGAATCTGTGTCCAAAAATTGAGGATCCAGAAAATGGATTTTACAGAGAACTCTTTAAACTCTTGGCACGATTTCAGAGACAAAAAGGGGTGAGTGTCCTCGAAGCTCCACTCTAGGGGTCGACGCTTCTCTCACCTGACCCCCACAGAGGCAAGCGACTAGGGCAGCAAAGTGTAATAATTGTAGACGGGATTTTGATGTCCGACTGGGAACTGCACTAAGTATTATTCCAGAACGATCTATTTTTCTTCTCAACACCTCTCAGAAGAGAGTACCTTTGTTTCAACATGTACAGTCAAACCTTTCCACAACGGCCACCTTGCCGGTAATCTCGTACCCAGATCTCCCACGACTATGGAAAAAAAAAAAACAGAGTGAGATCTGTGTACGAGGTTTCCTTGCCGGGGGACAGAACGAAGAAAGTGGTCGTTGTGCAGAGGTGGCCGTTATGGGGAGGTAGGGGTGTAATATGAAATTTTTTTTAGGGAAATACAAGGTCAGTTATTGTGCCAAGTTCATTCTTACTGTATGCCATGATGGTAATCCAATCATAAAGATAAAATAGACCAAAAAAATTTCAATAGTTTTTTGAATCTAAATGTTAGCGTGATAAAACGAACAAGGCTCGCAACAATCGCTATAAGTATCGTAGACAATTTATGCTTACTGCAGCAGAAAAAATGGAACACGATCAATATACGATTGCCACGATCAATCATCAACGCGCTATAAGGATCAAAGTTCGTGACCATTCCTAGATTTTTCGTCTTCAGTTCGTCAGTCGCTGAAAAAACTGGCCGTTGTCGAGAGATTTTTTGTGGCAGTTGGGTACGCACTGTAGTGGCCGTTGCCGTTATAGAGAGGTTTAAACAAGAGCTAACGTATGGACTGTCCGCCGGGAAAAAAAAGTGGCCGTTTAAAAGCGAGTGGGTACGAACCTGTAAACGAGATCGAAAAAATTAACGAAAAGCATTTTAAAATCTAAGCTAAATCAAGAGTAGCTCACTAATATCAGTTCTCTCTTGGCTAAAAACAAAGAAGTGAGACTGGAGCATTGTCACCTGGGTAACCTGTGCAATACATCAAGTGCATCATGGGTACAGTCGACGCGCGGGAAATTCGAGAAGCGCGCGCCACATTTGTACGAGATGGACTTGATTTTGGAAAACACAGTTGCGTCGTAACACGTTTAAATTCCGTCATTTAAAGGCCAATTATGACTGAACGTAAACACCAGCAATAACCACGATGAAGGAGTT